TGATCAATCGACACGCCGCAAAATAATAAATACAAAATTATTATAAAAGTAACGCTAACAATAACTTTTATGTATTATGTCATTTGCATATTTGTTCACTTTATCTTATTTAGGTATTTATTTTTAAAAATAGCTGCAGATCTGAGTATTTCATAAAAATAGGGTTACTTTAAATGTAGCATTAGACTGTGCGGAAGTGACGTCGTTATCCAAAAGTTATGTTAAACATTACCTTCTTTCTAAATTAAACAAAATGAATAGTATTAGTTGAGAGTCTTTCGATGGTATTTCTAAATCATCAAAATATTTCTATCATTATCATTTGACGAGATTCGTTATATTCTAGAATCTTCTACTAAATCTACAACAAAACTTATGTACAACGCCCTCACTTCCACCTCTTCTTTCAAACTTTACAAACTTGCAATATCTCTTGTTTAAAGCAGAACATCAAGCTACCCTCAATCAGTGTACACATCAAAAGTCAATACATTATCAACATTAATTCCTAGCAATAGAATTACGATTGACAGATCTCGATTGATCAATCATTTTGCTGGTTGATCAATCAATGGTATTGAAAATACGATAGATTTTTATACTCCAAATTGGAAGCTCGATGCTCTGCCGTCCGTTCCTTAAAAAATATGTGACTGTACATCGCATTGATCTTACATGCTAAGACTAACAGTATAGGCTACGCTGGCAAGTGGTTTGTGCTAAACATATGCGTATCTTTAGCTAGAAGCATCTAAAACTGCGACCCTAGTCAGCTTATGATATTATTGCGGTTTTAAAGTTGAGTTTTTTGGTGATGAGTAAGTCGAGAGGAGAGATGGTCTAAAAAGGTTATTGTAAACTAAAAGGAATTGATCTATATCTATAAATTTTTAGTAGAAAGGCCCCACCTCATATTTCCTCGTATTTTACTCAGTACCATTAATGTTAATTCGTATCATCAAGTTTTTGATAAAACCAATCAACAATCTAGAATTTGCCTCTGTCATGGGGCTGTTAACAAACATGCAATTTTTTCATACACTACACACCCAGACAGGGAACAGAAAAATGCAACTCAAAAACTTGAAAATTATAAGATATTTAGTCAATTTTCAAGTTTTGTCCACAATTTTCGTCAACTTACTCATCACCAAAGTATTACAATTAAACGTAGGTACTAGAGTCGCCTACATCTAGATGCGCGTCTGAATAAACTTACACTAGTCAACAATAACACACTCCTGTTCATACTCGCGTAATATATAATGTTTTAATAAACATTTAACAATACATATATATATTCATTTCATAATACATTCGATTCGCATGGAAGACGGTTGCTTTATTTGCGCGAAGTTTAATTTTATTAATGCATTCAATTGGGTCCTTGTCCAAAATAATTAATTGTTAATAATATTCATAGAATAGAGCTTTTGGTAGCAAATTTTCAAAAGAAATAAGTATTCTATTTAACGCAAAAAGTGACGCCATATGTTAATATCATAAGTATTATCACATCATCTGCCCATTGCCGAGCAAAGGCCTCTTCTTACATGGAGAAGGTTTGAGCATTAATCGCGACGCATGCTGACGCCGAATTTGCGATTTCAAACTTATAATTAGAAATTATAAGTTCTGGTTAGCTCACCGTGTTTTTCTTCGCTGTAACATTACTTGTTATAATAGTTTAAATATAATTTTGGCAAGCATTTAAAGGCAAGAATAAGTTTCTTTTTAAGTCTAGAATTATGTTTTTTTATAACAGTCTACTAAAGAATTTAAACTTCGCGTAAATAAAGCGGAGTGGGTTAGATTTGAAAATAAAATTACTGATATTTACGTATTTCGTTTTAAAATATTGTACCATTTACTTACATGAACACAATTACTTTATAAAAAATATAAAATAAAATGTCATGAAATTAGAGTATTGTATTTTAAAAATAATAATATCACTATGTATTATGCGTTCAAAAGAATTTTCAAAAACTTATTAATAATAAATATAAATAAAAATTGGCGGGCAATTGTACTTAGTACATGGCTAAACGCAAAAATATAGAAAATTATACACGAATATAAATATAATACTGTTAATTTGAGATTTTATTTTTATTTAGGTTGACATTTAATTAGTATAGGACAGAAAAAACTGCGAATATTTTAAAAGATATAGATAAAAGTATATACTTAATATTACAATGATGAAGAATTTCTTTGATTATTTGGACGCACTTATCTCTGAAACTACTGGTAGGAATTTTATAATTCTTTATGTGTTGAATAGATCATTTATCGAGGAAGGCTCGGTTCGGCTAGGCTATAAAACATCACGCTGAGACCAATTAGAGACGAGCATCGGGCAAAACCACTTTATTACATAATTTTTGTTAAGAGAGTTTTTATCATTAATAATATTTATCACTATCTACTCTCGCGAGGTTTTACTCGCTGCTCGGCTCCTACAGATCATAGCTTGATGTTATATATCCTAAAGCCTTCCTGGATAAATAATCTATGCAGGGAAAAAAAATAATTTTTCAATTCGAACCAGCAGTTCCCGATTAGCGCGTTCAAACAAACAAACAAACAAAATCTTCAGCTTTATAATATTAGTAAAGATATAGTGTAGCTGTTCATTACTAATTAAATGTCACCAAATTTATATCACGGTTAGTACAACTTTTACTTTATTAGTTTTAATATAAATTAGGTTGGTTGCCACAAATTTTAATAATAAAAGAGTCATGAGATCTATAATCCTGCCACGTTAAATACATGTTACGTAAAATCCAACCAGAAACATTGACCCTGCCATATTGCGGATTTTAAAGGAACTATTTTTTTCTCACAAATTTACTTACCGTTGTCTAAAATCGACAGTAGCGCCAATTTGACAGGACTTTTTATTTGGTTAGGTTTTTACATTCTTATTAATTTATTATGAGCTTTCAATATCAAAAACAATTGCACTAGGCGATTGCATAGCCGTTAATAATACAAATAAAAAATTAAATAAAAATAATCTTAAATTAATAATAATTGAGACATTGATGATATTACACTTATAGAGGGTGTTACGATTGTTTCCTTTTGAGAAAAAAAGTTTGTGACTAAGCATTATTTGAAGGATTTATTGATTTAAAAGAACTATCTAGATCATGTGATATGAGCGCCAAAAAGTTCATAGGTACGAATATAAAATACAATAATAATGATAATTTTAGTAAAAACCAATTGAAAAAGAGTAACAATGAAGTTTCTATCTTGTTTTTTTCATGGTAATCTAGACTTTGGGACGAGCAAATAGCTTCACTTAAATACAGACTGTACAACAGACATTTTTATTTTATATATTTAATTTAAAAGGGCGCATTTCGCTAACAGAACTAAATTATTTAGTTTCATCAATTGACTAAAAATAATCGACTAAAAAAACAACGTAGTCACCCCCTCTAGAATCTCAGTCATTCCCATTCTAAATTGATTCACGGCTAAAAGTTCTACGACATCAAATTTATAGGCAATTTTAGGCAAACGCTTAATCTATAACGTATTATAAGATTTTTACTTAAAATTATTGCAATTTTTTGTCAACAGATTTCCTATTAGCCTAAGTTTTAGGGAGGAGAGTATTATACCTTTTTTATAACAGACAGCGAAATTGTATAATATTTTATATAAATTAAATAAATAAAACCCACCCATGATTGTACGGTTGGCTAGGCAACTGGCTGTTGTGCAAAGGAACAACAAACTTTGTGTGATCCACAAATTGTTGTTTGAAGTCTTGGTGCCTTGAATGTGTGAAGAAAATCCTAATTTAAAGAGAGGCAATGTTATTTTTAACGAGTAACGATAGGAGTTTTTTGCTCGTCCTTATCCATTCGAATCTACACTTTGGAACGAGCACCTACCTTCACTGACAAACAGACTAAGGTAAGGTTATAAATGTTTTTAAGTTGTAGTAATGGCTTTTATAGTAAGTAATTTTAATATTACTGCAACTACTTTGAGGAATTACGTCTACCACAACCTCTGTTTATTACATTATAAGTATACAACCATATTACTACTCTCCTCCCGAATTAATAAGACATCACTGGATCTTAACATTATGAGTTTCGGCAACAATTCCGACAAGAATATCAATTTATTTTAATTAAAGTTTTAAAGAAATAATTGTAATTAATTTAAATGAACTATGTATTTACTGGGCGACTTTTGCGCAAACCGTGTACTAGTAGCGCAACCTTGCGCAAACTGTATACTAGTAGCGCAACTTTGCGCAATGATGCGCAACATCTAAAATAGATTTAAAACCGTTTTTTTCGGGGAAAGTCTTTTAAATGCCTTCTTCCACCCTGAGCGAGAGGAAGTGACAGACTCTTACTAACAAGAAGCCACCCCACTTCATTTCCAGGTCTGGGCCGCGGCCGCGTTTCATTATTGCAAAGCATATTTGTTCTTAAAATTTAGAATTATTCATTGACATCTCCCATCTTGGGTAAGGCAAGATCAAGGCTCAATGTCAGACTGCTACATTTGATTGATTGAGACGATATAAAAAGGCGTAAATTACGAAATTAATGTAAGTTAAAGTAAAAAATATGGTTATGAGGTGTTCTTTTTAAACTCAATTTTAAAGTAAAATTGAATCTAGAAATGATACCTCTTAGTAGGATGCATTCATTAGTTTTGTTATTTCTTATGAGAAAAAGTAGTTGAAAGTCGCCCAGTAAACCCAGTCGAATGATATGTGTACGTAATCGACAAAAAGCTTTCTAAATAAGAGACGACCGCACGTCAAATACACCTAAAATCGTCTAATTTCTTCAATATACTATTATTGAATTTATTTATAAAACATTAAAAAATCTTGCATAGAAATGATTATTAGAGAAAGAGTGAAACCACGCCTGCGTGATATAAAAAGGATTTCCCTTGATTAGGTTACGGTTCAGTTGAAAAATTTAAAATTTAAAAGTAGTATATGCCTATTTTTCCGAACCTTGATAATTTTTAAATCTATCCTGTAATTTCGAAATATATATAATGCAAACAGACAGTGAAATCTGTCTGCGTTATAACATTAACCGTCTGTTTTATAACCTACATATAAGTTCCCTTTAATATCACATTAACTTTCGTTCTATATTCAAATACACAATATATCTAGTAAATAGCGGTTATACAAAAATTGCGAACTGGGTCGTAAATTATAAATAATATGTTGAAGAAATTTGACATTTCAGTGTATTTTGACGTGTTTTTGAATGTCTATAAAACGTGTATCGCAGAGTATCGAGGCGAAGACTAGTCGTCAGTGAAGTTCTAACAGTACGAAAGTCATAAATGGCTACTTTACAGGAGAGTGAAAAAACTGTTTAAAATGCATGTAACTTACGCTTATGGCCGTATTGTGTTTAATTATTAATTCAAATGAACTTTGTGATGATTTGAACTCGTGAAAATTGTAATAATCTTTTCTATTGAAGTAATTTGGTGAATTCCGCAGTGTTGCCAGTAGTTGCCACTGACTTACGCCATGTTTCATCTTAGTAACATAGTTAAAGGAGATAATTTGGAGAAGGCAAATAAAATAAAATTGTTAAAACTTGAAAGTGTTAAAACTTTATTTTATAAAAAATTTAAAATATTTTGTATTATAAAAAATGGTTTTGCTTAAAACGAATCAACTTCTTAACTATAATCAGACTTTTAAGAGATCAATAGGGTAGGGAATCATAGTACCCGTGACAATCAGAAGGAATAACAGTCTTTAACTCCTGTAAATGTTTCCATTTAGTTACTGATATTTTGATGCGACTTTGGTAGAGTTTTGGTCTAGGGGGTAAAGTTTCGGGCATTACTACTCTGCGTCGAATTCTGCGTGGCAGATCCTGATAATCTTCCTCAAAGTTCAATTTATATTTGATGACTCCACTTGGATTATACTGCAGTGCTCGTATATCCGTTACTGTAGGATCATTGACGGAGCGACCAGGCCGTATGGAGTCATATATGAACGAATTCTTGTCTGAGAAGTCATCAAAAAAACTGTAGTCTAAGTATTCTACTAAATAAGGTTTTTGCGGTCGAGCTTGTTTTGACAACGTCGCAAATTGACTTGGTAAAAAGATCTCCTGGTTTTTTAATTTTTGCTCGATTGAACTATGAACCGCATCACACTCCATTTGTGTGTGACCTTTCTCCAAAAATTTTTGTTCGATAATGATGTTTTTTTCCATGGATAGTTGCAGCAGAGCATTTGATAGATAAACATTCCGATTTTGCGCCGTACAACCATCAGAATATAAAATGATTGGCATGCATTTCTTCTGTAGTGTTTTTTTGAAACAGTCTATGATGCATGATATAAACACAGAAGCAGTCAAACCAGCGTTACTCTCGTCAAACCAGTAGCAGGTAACTTCTTTGTTGGCAAGATTGTACATCGTAAAATTATGCACACATAGTTTAGTTTTAAAGTATAAAGCACTGGCTTGAAGTTGTGGACATAACTTTACGGCCTGTAAATCTTGTGTAAAAACATGTACGTCATCCAATTGACGAGCCCTTTCTTTATCTCTCACTTTCTCGCTTCTTGCCATGTCTTTTTTCTTAATATGTGATCTATATTCTTCCTCTGCTATGTTGCCTACCTTGTACGAACAGCAAGTATCGCACTGATCTTTTTTAGGCGAGAACAGGCTTAGATTCAACTCATCAAAAACTCTGCACATAGTCCAGCGACTAAGTGGACTTTTAGACTCTTTTTCGCACTCTTGGATGTACAACCTAAAGAGACAGTTCTTGTTTTCAACAATCGGCTCTAAATACTGTTTTGATGTAGATGCCCTGCAATAGTGCGAGGGCATTTTTGGTAACGAAGCGAAGAACTGTTTGAGGAATGTCATGTCTTCTTTCTTAATAACGCGTTCATCATTGTTGTCGTTTGGTCGTGGTGTTGTTTCAGCAATGCCATGTTCAGATCTATCGACCCAGCACCTAATAGTCGACTCTTTCAAACCCAGAGTGTTCAAAAAGGTCTTCAGACAAACTTGGGTACGTCCCTCTGATGTACTGAGAAAGTACTGTTTACTCCCACTTCTACGAGAATTCGATTTTACTTTTATTTGCTTTTTTTCACAAACGGAGACGTGAGATACAACATACTGTTTCCGTTGCTCCCAAGTCATGCTTTTCCAGAACTTGCCAAATATGTTCTCTCTTTCGATGTCAGACAAGCTAGAACAGCCACGTAACTTAGACTTCGAACAAAACAAAGAAGTGCAACGTGAACCAATTGAACGTGCTGGACGTTGCACATCATGGAGTACTTGAAATTTCTCTTGCCCTGTAACTTTCCTGTCCCTACGGTACCCCACATATTCTTCACCTAGCATACGTTTCAGTTTTGTTGTGTTTTTATTCCATTTTTTAGGTTGTGCGAATCCCTTCGATTTCCTTTTTCTATTAGAATTTATATGTTCCATCTCACTGTCAGACGGTAGCTGCTCCAAGGTTGATGGAGCTGAAGGTAGGAATGTTCCTTCAATGTCATTTTCAGGTGGTTTTGTCGCTTCTAATGGCGGTGAAATCGCAACAGGGGAGGGCAGAGGCTGCAATTCTTCACTTGGCTGCAAATGTATTATGGTAACTTGTTCAGATGGAGAAAGAGGTATGGCATCCTGAATGTTTTGAGGGCTCAATAGGTCCAGCAAAGGCGGAGATGGAGGCTCGGACACTATTTCTATTGGTAAGTTATTAATATCGATATTTTCTAAGTCAGTCAATGTTACCGGTAATATCTTCTGTTTTTTCATTGGAACTTGTATCTTTAAGTCGCTGCAAAGAATCAACATTTCATCATCAAGTTCCTCGCCATCACTTGATAGATAATCCATCTTGTGTGTAGACAAACACCTTGTAAAAAGAAAAAGAAAGTAGATAAATGAAATGGAAACACAGCGTATCTCATGAAAAATATCACAGTAAACACTGCGTAAGTCACGACTACTTTTCGATTAACATTAGGAGTAACTAATAATCGTAATAATAAATAAACACACTTGTTTTAACAGTTAAACTATGACCACATAACATTAAATCGATATAATAAGGAATAAAACATAGAGGTATATTGCAAATAATACCTTAAATCGAAATCACAACATCGGAGAACTTGATGCACGACGAATTTGTACGTGAATGGCTGACATACGCAGTGTTGGCACCACCAACTGAGATACGCAATGTAACTATTTTTCAAATAACGCGTTGTGATTGGTCAGTTATCGTGTTTTGAATGGTCGACACGACGCGCGCCACTATGCTTTATCCAATGACATTCAAATCTCTAAACACTCACAAAATGACTTACGCACTGTTAGAACTTCACTGACGTAGTACAATTTGTGTTGTTGGTGTCGCCCGCTAGATGGCGTTAAACTATAGTACATAAAGAATGGTGTTAGAAGTACAAAATGTACGTATCTTAATGTTTATTATTTTTAAGGCGATAAGGTCTATTTTTGCATGTTTTTTTTTTCATATTTTGAGGGATGAATCGAAAAAAAAGATGTTCTATTTTTTATACTTGATAGAAAGTGTTTAGGTTCAATCACGGGATATGTACTTAATAGTATTCAAGTTATACATAAACAATTATTCTTAGGAAGGTATTTCATTTCCAGTCCGTACTTAGATAATTGCGTTTTCTATTTCTCTCTTCTAATTGTAATACTTAACTTAGACGCTATCACCACACTAATTTTGCCAAACAAAAATAGACCTTATTGCGATAAGATCTGCAAGTGATTATCAACTTTATACAACAATATTACGATTCATTGTACTGTAGTTGTTTACCTTTAAACTGCTCTTAACTTGAAATGACATTCAGCAAACATAATCTGGAAAAATTGAAACAAATTATTTGTTATCGTTGAACAAGAAGCGTCAGTGTCTGTCAGTGTCATTAAGTTATATGCGCAAAAAATGCAGATCTAAAGTTTTTTGCGCAAAAAGATTTGTAGAAGTCTGACCTGATCTAATACCGATGTTCTGGCGAATGCGGGGAGCGAGGCTGTCGGCCCGCGACGCCGGCCAGCCTCTCGCAGACAGCCTCCAGCTGCGCGTCCAGCATCAGCGACGCTATCTGCTCGTCTGACAGCATCTCCACGCTAGAATGGAAGAGGAATATATAGATCAGTCTTACATAAGTCTAGTCTTATATATAAAAGAACAAATAAGGGCTGTGTAAGAATGAAAAAATCAACGGACCACGTAAGTTCACGTAAGTAAGACATGCTTCGGCACGAATGAGTCGGTTCGGCAGGAGTGATACCGCGGCCTCACAGAAAGCCGGCGTGAAACGGCTACAACGTTGTATTTCACCGTGTGAGTGAGGTTACCGGAGGCCCAATTCTTCCCCTCCCGTAATGACTCCCCAATCCTGAAATTCCAAAGAGTCGGCAACGCACTCGTAACTCCTTTCTCATTGCGGGTGAAGTGGGCGGCGCTAATTGCTTACCATCAGGTAATCCGTCTGCTCCGTTGCCGTCCTATCACATAACAATTGCGCAATATTTTAAACGGTTGCGCAACTTTGCGCTAAACTTTGGAAACTACAGGCAAAATAATATTTATTTACCTGGCAAGACTATCAGTGTCGGAGTATCTGTCGTCGCTGTGTGAGGAGGCGGCGCGGGGCGAGGCGGCGCGGCGCGGGGTGCGGGGGGCCGACGACGACCCACGGCGCTCGCCGAATAGGGATAGACCTGCAGTAATAGGCACTATGTAGAATTATTTACCGTTCTCATAACAATGGTCTATCGGTTTGGGTAATTAAATAAATGTAAACAATCTTGGCATGTGTTTTTATCTAAAAAAGTTTAGTAATAATGTTTGCGATCAAGTATTTACATAAATCTAAAATATTTAATTATTAAACCACAACCACACGGAAAAGTGTGCTATAATATACATATAACTACACTAATATCTACAAGGGGTAAAAACGTTGAAGTTATGTATGTATTATTTCTACTACCTCGTAAAAATATTCCACAATCTTACCTTGAAACATCTCCTTGACCTTCTCCCCGGTATCGTGCAGCAGGGCATCGAGGCTCTGTCTCCGTGGCCGGTCGAGGTCCTCCCTGAGTGCGTGAGTTCGGGGCGCAGTCCTAATGATGCGCCGGGGCTCCGCTGCCGAGGCCCGGGACTCCACCGGGCTAGGCGGCGACCATTTCTCCGGAGTCGAACGAGCTCGAAGCGAGCATTTCTCGAAACTCACCTAGGTTAGGTGTTTATAGTTAGGTACGAATGAGGAATTATAAAAATATTATGGTAGTAGAATTCTATAACATCTTAGATTAAGTTTCAATATAGATATTTTGTTTTTATAAACGTTGCCCCCACACTAGGATTTTCTCCCTGTGTCGTGGGTGCGTTTACAAACATACAATTCCACATACACATCACACCCAGACCCGGAACAAAAATTTGTGGATCATAAAAAGAATCGTTACGTGCGGGAATGGAACCCGCGACACGTTGCGCGGCAGCCAGTTGCCCAGCCACTAACATTAGTCGTGAAATAATTCCTGTAAAATGTTTCTTTATTATATTTTTTTAAATTTATGGAGTTAAGTCGGCCTTTTTTGCCAACTTCTTGCCATTTAGTGAACATTAAAGTATAAATAAAGTAGTACAGGTACCTCTTCAGGGCTGGAGTACTCCAGGTCTATCTCGGTCCAGGTGTCGCAGTCAGGGAGGGCCCGCGGTCGCTGGTGGTCGGCGGCGCGCCGCAACCACTCTCGGACGCTGGCCTCCGTGCTACTCTCGCAAAGCTCCTCCAACTTATCGCTGCTCGTCGTGTTTGTATCGCTCGCCGTATCTGTCGTTGTTGACCGGTCGATTTCTGCAATTTTTTTTTATTAAAAGCCTATTTTATATTCGTAGGTTTAGAGAGCGTTCCCTAAGCGCCTCAGAGAGCTTATACACCACCACAGACGGAGCTTTACAGGGCATATGTTCAGCTGGAGTTACGCAATACGGTACGACGGTTTTGATCGAAAGAAGAAGGAACGGGGATTTACTTAGTAAGAATCTAACACTCCTACTAAGCTCATCAAGGGCGAGAGAAGTCCTCTTACAAACAATTCATAACAATTTCAGCAAATATAAATCTGTTTCGCGCTGTCACCGCGGCCTCGGCCCAGAGCAGGAGAAGAGACGGGGGGGGGGGGGGGGAGGTTAGTCAGTAAGAGTCTGACACTCCCTCCCGACTTAGGCTGGGCGGGAGAAGTCGTAACAAACACCTTATTGCCCAAAAGTCATCTTTGATTTCACATGAAATTACCTGATTTTCTTTTCTACAGCTTGATGACCTTGAATCAATGGGTTGGCTTATAATAATAATAATTTTCGTTAAATGAATCTCACCATTCCTAGCAGACTGTCTCCTGGACCGATGCTTGTGTATTTCATCGGAGATCCTCTCCAAGTTCCTCAGCGCTGAGGAGTACTGCTGCTTGGCTTCAGCGACCTGCTCCTCCAACGTTTGAATCCGAGCCTTTTGAGCTTCTAACGCCGTGTTGATTCTAGCCTTTTCCTCAAAATATGGTCTGAAATTGTGTATGTGATATATTTTTTATTTTGAGGGTAATCTATGGGTTTCAATAGTGTAGACATTTGTCATTTTCAATAACTTATCTGTTGTTAGGACTGGCGTAGACACGGAACAAATCTTGTTTTAATTCTGGCTATCATATGTATGTATGTAAAATTGTACGTTTGTAAATGTACTCATGGTACAGGAAAAAGTCTAGTTCACACTAATTCTAGTGTGAACTAGATTTTTTTTATATAATTTTTAAATATTCATGTACAAGGTTAAAAAAGGTGCTTACAAAACCTTCTATACCATTGTTTTTAAAAAGATGTTGCCTCAGTTTATGGCATTCTCCTGTGTCGTGGGTTTAAGTTTGTTTGTTAGGTTTACAAACAAACGATTTCCGAACACAATCATCACACCCAGACCCGGAAGAACAATTTGTGGACAAGTTGCAGACAGTTGCCAGTCACTGCGCCAACATTACAGTCCAAACGTATTGACAGTTGACAATGTATCACACATTTTTTTCTAGAAACATGTATTCAATATCTGTATCTGACATCTGCAGATAGGTTATGGAAAATGACTGTAGATATTTATTTTAAGATATACAAATATACAATTCAAGAATATACATATATGGACTGTAAGCTGTTTTAAATATTCATTTTAATCTGTGGTAAAAAAACATGGATACATCTAATTTATATAGTTACGCTTTCACATCAAGATAAGGGTACATGTATAAATTGAAGAAAAGAAATAAGGTGTAATTTAAACACAAAATATTTGGCGTTAATTTATCAACAAAGGAAATATTGGTTGTGTTTTCAATTTTAGAATAATTTAAAAGCTTATGTATATGCAAAGTTTATCAGCGAAACACAATTCGTTATGGAATCTGTGTAAAGATAAGTTTGTAGTAATAATAGGTCTTTACCTATGAAATTGCCGTTGTGCAGTACTGGTAATTTCAGAATAGAATAGAATAGAATAGAATAAGACTTTATTTGCTAAGAATGCAGGTACATACAAATAGGATCGAAAATAACATAATAAAGAACCGTGTACATTCTACCTTGTTGGCATGCAAATACAATAATTATTATACAACTGAGTTAAATAAGGCAAAAAGGTGATTAAAATGTATCATTTAAGAAATCCTGAACAGAATAATAGCATTTGTCTACAAGTAACAAGGTAAAACATTTTTTAAATTTCATCAATGGCAAGGTTTTCATGTGATCAGGAATTTTATTAAAGATAACAGGAGCCATACATATCACACTTTTTTTTAGTAAGCTAGTTTTAAATGTGCCTGTGCACAGTAAGTTCTGATATTGTGATCTTAATGATGTACTTCGTTTTCTAGTTTCTGTTAATGTTGCAAATAAATTACGGTTAGTTTCAAATCAAAATAGTTTTTGTTAGGCTAAGGCTAATTAATTTTGTTTTAAAAACATGGGATTCTTTTTCCAAAAGTAGTATTGATTAATGTCAGGTACATTTTCATCGCATTTCAAATCAAAAAATTCGTTTAAATTTTTTCATGCAAAACGGCAATTTCATAGGTCTAGGACTATTATTTCCATAATAGTGGCATTCAAGCATCGAGTTATAAGTATTTTCAAACTACTAACAAGTAAATAAAATCTACATATAACATGCAACTAAAGTTAATGTGACGTTTTCTGCATAAAACAGGAAGAAAAAAATTTATTAATTTGTCGATATGCAACAGATTAAATTTTTTTACTTATTTTGTAAGAAATACATATTCTAAAGTTTAACAAAGATGTAAAAATATTACGTCATCACAACGCGATATTTCATACAAAAATTCATATCAAAATTATCGTTTCCGTTTATTTAGGACACAGCTAGTCGGAAAAAAGACTACTATTAGGCACCGAATTAAAAAGACTTCAAAATATAATTAACATTATTGATTTACTCAATACTCAATATATTTATTGCATTTCACAATGTGAACTAAGGCGTAGGTTCGCAATATCGAAAAAGATAGCTTATCATACAATTCAATACAACTGCTTAACCTTGACCAATCGACAAAGAAAAATCGCTTTTAAAACCTAGAACAAGAAGTACAAAAATAGCAGAAAACGTCACAATTGAAATAATTATGTAAAAGCATGCAAGAATAAGTATGATAATAAAAATGCGGTACCAGTGAGGCGGCTGCATCCGGGCGTGCCTGTAAAGAGAGCACTGTGCCACTATTCAAGCCATACTTGTGCAGGGTTAATGAGCAGACAAATTATATGATATCTATTCCTTCATCTCTTTTCGTCTCTTCTCTAAAAAATAGGGGTTAGGTAGTTGCGAGGGTTGCGAGTGTATTAATTTTCAGCGGCCTTGGCTCGTAACATTACAGCCTGTAGATTCCTATGAAGAAGAACGAGCAAGAAACTCTATGGTTTTTCAATTAGTTTTAACAATTCATTTCTTTGTTTCGTCATTTAGGTTTTCTCCTTTCCTTTTCAAGTTCTGTCGTGTGAGAATAATTAGATCTGATTCAGTCATTAATAAATATCATCGGAAACATTAGATTTGATCTACAACTTAACATACAATTTGTCTGCGCACATTTCATTCAACTACGGAGTTAGTGTTAAGTTTAAATAAAATCTAAGCTTACAACTACAGGGTGTCATAAAAAAAGAAGACTTGCAAATAGTTATTTCGATGCAAGCATTACATAAAGCAATGGAAATTTTGAAGAAATAAAAGAATATTTTAATCTTGCAACATTACTGATTGAGTATTACGAAGTTGTTGGTCTAATTACATTCTTATTTTTAAGCTAAGTGGCCATTTGATATACAGTTTCTTACAGAAATATTTTATGAATGATGTATTTAAATTTTGTTGTATAGGCATGTGGAAGGAATTATGACAGCTTTTCAATGAAAAATATTGTCATTTTGTCAAATCTGATTGCTGCACATTTCCAATCTAATTTAACAAAAGTCAAGAAAATGACTAGCAATTTATGGTTCCGGAATTTTACATTTAGAAAAAAAGTACAATGAACAAAATAGAAAACAATTTTTAATAATTGCTGTATTATGAATATTTGACAATTCAAAGAGAGAAACAAGTTAATATTTAGGCAATACAATTGAAATTGCTTTGCAGAAACTGTATATTATGGCTTTGGATTTAACTAAAAGATTATTGAAAATAAGGACAAACGTTAGTTGAGAAAAGTCCTTTCAAATTTCAAGTTCATGACGGGACTCCTATGACAGTAGCGGTTGCGTCGTTGTTACGCAAATCATGAATAAGAGTCCTGTTTTGTTAAGAGGGAGTTTCCGTTCAAATAACTTCTCTTGCCCAGGGTAAAGCGAGAGGGTGTATCAGACTTTTTCTGATTAAAAATCACCCCATTCCTTCTGCTGCTCCGGTTCGGGGCCGTGGTATATTATTGAACTTGCAACCCCGGCTTGATGCTTTGGTGGCATTAGCCCTCTTTTCTTTTCTCTTTTACTCTTGCTAGCCAGACCCGTGTTTACGGTAGCAATAAAATTCCCATTGTAACTTGATACTACTAGAGCTTTTCTCAGTCAATTCACATGAGTAGTAGAATAGTAGTATTTCGTCCTTATTGTCAATGTTTAGCAGTAATTACTAAGATAGAATTAGGTGTAATTGTATAGAATGTTTAGTGCATCGCACCTGGACTTGGCGATATGTCGTTTGAGTGAGCTCTGCAGCTGGTGGACGAGGGTGGTGGCGGCGCGGTGCGCGGCGGCGCGGGCGCGCTGCGTCACCGTCGCGCTGGCGCGGTCCGACTCCGCCTACACCATTCTTACTATTAAAATTTTCATTTTTTGCTAAAGTAAAATACATTTCTGACTTGCCCTACACCTTCAGGATATCTTTAGAATCAAATCATGGAAGACATTTGTAACTACTTCGGATATCGTTAGAACCTGGAGGCACGGCAGTGCCCCAGCCAAGTCTCGAGTCAATTAATAGCAGAGCAATTTTTTGTGTTGTAGGCCAATCTAACGAGCTGTCGCATAACCTGATGGTAAGCTTCAGAGATCAGGGCATGGAAAGGTTTGGGCCTCGGGTAGCCTAACTCACACGGCGAAACACAATGCGGCGACCCATTCGTGCCGAAGCTTGGCTCTCAAGTTTAACCTATTCTATTAAGTGTGGAATTGTGCAATATAAAGTTTAACAGACCTGATTAACCCTATGCGTGGCGTGGTTAAGCATCTCCTGCCAGGCAGGGTCGAGGGTGACGCCGGCGCCCCCCTCAGCGAGGCGCGCCAGGCCCTGCTCCGCCAGGTACACCATCTCCCGCGCCGCCGCGTGCGCGCTGTTTGCCTTGTCGTACGCGACTGTTGCAGTTTGTAACTCTTGTGAGGTCTGGAACAAAATATAGGGATATTCTCTCTTGCTCAAAACGCAAATGTACTATTAATAATATGATAAATATAAACATTTAAAGTGTGTTGTGTAGAAACAAGAAAAAAAATTGGCATTGGCAAAAAATGGTGCCAATTTTTTTTGTTTTGTTTATTATTGTCAAAACACTGTTTTAGTCCAAGAAAATTTAAAGAAGTCGAATGGGAAAATTGGGAATGTGGCCCTTATAGCGAAATACCTAGTTAGACCCGTGTGGTGTGTGCGGCAGGCCGCTATTTTATGATAATAGTGAAGTGAAAGAGTTTAGAAAATAGCTTTATTTACCTTACACACATACAAAACAGAATAGATGTCCATTCTTACTATCGTCGCTAAGCTGTCTTTTCATATTTAAATGTCATTGTTTACAAAAGTTACTAAATGCCTCTTGATAAATAGATAAAATTAATAGATACTCACAATATTAGCTCTGAATCTAGCTTCATAATAAGGCCTGGCTTTGTGGACACTAGTTCCAAGTTTCTTAGTAAGCTGTTGTATCCGCAAGTGACCCTCTGCAAGCAGTCTCCGGAATGCCAGCCGAGCCTCGTCCAGCTCAACTTCAAGCCTGTTGATCTCATCTGTCGCAGTGTTTAGACGCTCAAGCTCAATCTGCAAATAAGTAATGAGTAATTAAGATATTTATTTACTGTTGTTTTTTTTTATACAGCATATTAGAAAGATATTCAAATATATTTGTTTCTTAACTAATTTATTTTGTAAAATAAGTCCACAAATATGCTTCATATAGATACACTAGAACATATATCTTTTATTACTTTATTTATTGACACTTTGCTTCATCAAACTCCCAATGAATGCTGGCATTAGGGAACCTATTGTCTTACTTTTGTCTCAAATTACCACAATTGAAAGGTTGTGAAAAAGTAAATACTGGCACACAACCAGTAACACAGGCCTCACCTAGCTCAGGAACCAAGGCCTCCAAAATAATACCTACAATAGTTTTCAACTAGTCAAATTCAATACTTTTATCAAAATGACAAAAACAATACTTTTCTATGAAATTTGAATGAAAAACTGAGTTATGACGTCATAGTATTTTTGCATCAAATAGCTTACTTAATTTTTAATAATTAGCTAAAAAATATCTAAAACTTAGTGTATCAATCAATCGATGAATAAAAGTATAGTTACTTTTCAATATTTTATGGTATTGAAACATCAAATTAATTTATTTTTGACCTAGGAAACTAACCCATTGGATTTATTGTACTTAGATTTTATTGCATTTGAACTGTTGTGCCTTAAATGGGAGAAGACACTGACTCCTGTATAGCAGGTCTCAACTAGCTCAGGAACCAAGGCCTCAAAATAATTGTACCTCAATCTTATGCATTTTCATCATCATAATTAAAAAAAAATATTTTATATTATATTCAGCCACCTAGGTATTTTAAATACAACCACAATACCTATAATGTTTTGTTTTGAATTTCAACACAACTTTTTCATTCACAATAAGAAGAAAGCCTCAATTAATTGCAGAATTATTTAAAATTCTATAAAGTAAAATGTGTGAACAAAGATATAAAAAAATATTGTCTAATTATTTTTATTTAAACATGTTAAAGTTGCTTAACTTTTTGTATTTTTGAGATACATTTTAATAGGTCTCCTAAACATTTTTCTGCAGCAAAAGATTATGCTTCTTAATCTTAAATCGTAGATATGAGCCTCTACTGTCACTAGCAGCGGACGTACACAATTGAGCTATTGTTTAATTGAGATTTTTTGTGTTGCATAACAAAAACATATGATTTGTCTGAGATTTTATTTTTTATTGCTGTCATTTACGCCTATCTTGTAAAACTTGTTAGGTAATTCAGAATTATGTTGAACATTAATATTATTATTAAAAAGGAGGATTTATAATGTAAAATATAGCTGTCTTACTTCATGAATTATCTTTGAAAATATCGATTATCCCTACCTGAACGCGAGGATCCAAAGCTTCCGAGCATTCGGCGGCGCTATCGTTCATTGTTTCCTCAACACAATAGCATTTTAATAAAATTTAAAGTTATAAGAACCTTTCTTCTTGTTGTTACAATTGTTCTTTTGTGAAATAAACATTATCATCGCTGAAAACAAAAAGAAAAGAAATATCAAATAACTTTGGTTCTCAATTCAATACCGCCCGCTGCCAAAACACAGATTGTTAAATGAAACGTCATTTTATACGTCAAAATTATTTTAGTTTAGTCGATTAATGTGTACATGTGTACAATCCAATCTTACAATAAGTGAACAAAAAACTGCAAAAGGGTTTAACACCTGTAACATTATTTAAATTAATAACTAATCAGAATCGTTATTCTTTTCCTAAATAATATTATAAAACATTTTTTTTATTATTGTGAATCTGTACAAATATTTTTATCATTCATTCAATAATTAGGTATTTGGGAATCATTCATTCTTATTTAGACATTTCACAAAAATCGCAGTTTGTCATCATCAACGAAGATCATATCCAAATTTTAAAATGGTATTTATCTGAATAACTTCTATATATTTTCAGTTTCAAGTGTTAGATTTTACAATGTTTATTGTATATTACAGGCGACCGAAGTGGAAGATACAATTAAGCGAATCCAGGCCCATAAAGGTGTTATGGGTGTCATCATAGTGAATCATGAAGGTTTGGTCGATTTTTTACATATTTCCATGGTTACAGGAGCATATTATGCAAGTCTCCCCTTGTATACATTCCAATCAATAGTAATATTCACCATATTTGCTGAAATTTCTAAAACAAATGCAATGTCCCAAATGTTTACTTTCTAATTTCAGGCATTCCTATCAAAAGCTCTTTGGATAATGCTACTTCTGTGTTATACTCCGGACTGATTGGTCAACTAACTGAAAAGGCCAAGAATGTTGTGCGTGAAATGGTAATTTGTTTATCTGATCAACCAAAGCAATTCTTATAAGTGTACCTTGACATTGACCAAAACATAATTCAATAGATAAAGACCTTAACAACAATTTACTAGTGAAATCTACTATAACTGTTTAGTGAATATTTCTCATAAGATTCGATAAAATTCAATACAATATCTTTTTCAGGACACAACAAATGAACTCACATTTCTTCGCGTAAGGAGTAGGAGACATGAGATCTTGATTGCACCGGATCGTGAATTCATACTCATTGTCATACAAAACACTTCAGACTAGCTTCACAATGTAAAAGACTAGCACATATTAAAGTTATGGGGCCTTAAAACCACATTCACTGAACTTGGAGCCATACCAAATATTATTTTCTGCATCAAAATAAAACAGCATAATTAGAACATCTTCTCTCTTCAAGTACAGCCATGAGTAATAATAAAAATATCACTATTCCCAAAACAAACATTACAGGCTGTAAGGAAAAAAAATATTACTCTGTGGTGGGCCCCTACGAAAAAAGAAAAATGCACTAGCTCAAGGAGTGTCACTAAATAAGAATCAATTTAACTTAATTTTTAAAGCTTTCATTATAGACATAGTTAATTTATTACTTACAAAAGCATTCCTTAAGTGCCATTTGTGCAATGTCTTTGTTAAATTGTCAGAATATGCATGGCTAAAAGCTATTGAAGTGACTAGACCCTGGTGTGCATGGCAATTAAAATATATGAGTATGTATAGAAAGTTGTGCCAAGCAATAAGGGCCATCAGATTTCAGATTGGCAGTTCAAAATGTTGACAGACTTGAAGAATTAAAATAATACTTACTAGTTTTTAAGTTGCAATTATTTTCACTAGTGATAGGTATTTCTTTTTTATAAATAGTCTTGTTTTTTTTTTAATTCGTTTCGAGTTCGATACTTCATTATTTTCTTGAAACTTTTGTGATTTTATTTTATTAATGTATTGTAAGAACACTAATAAATATTTATACACATGCTTGTGACTTTTATGTGAGATCTAATATATTAATCAAGCCAATAAACCACCACAGACGGGGCCCTATAGGGCTGATGTTCAGCCGGGGTTGCAGGGTAAGCGCAATGAGGCACCGCGACCTCGGTCCAGAGCAGGAGAAGGAACAGGGGGGTTGTTAGTCAGCAAGAGTCTGACATTCCCTCCCGCCCGGCCCTGGGCGGAGAGGTGATTTGATGTTTTTTCCACTCACAAAAAAAATGGGGTACATTGGAGATATTTTTCTTTCATTTAAATAGAAATCGCGCTTATTGAAAAGTGAAATACCCACTAAGTTACCTACTACTATGTAGTAGTGTGTGTTGTAGTAATAAAAAATATGTGAATAATATTTACAGCACACTTCATTGCTTAGTAGATAATTCAATCGATATTTTCATAATAAACCAAACGTAACGAGTATCGTACGATAATGAATTACAAGTATAGAATTGATATTTATAATATTATAAAGCTGTAGTTTGTTTGTTTGAACACGCTATCTCCGAAACTATTGGTTCGAATTGAACAATTCTTTGTTTGTTAGTCCTTTTATCGAGGAAGGCTAAATATAGGCTGTAAAACATCACGCTACGGTCTGTAGGAACCGAGCAGAGGGTGTAACCGCGCGAGAGTAGCTAGTAAATCCTATTACAAGGCGAGTAACTGATCTACTTACAATGTACCAGTCAATGAGTAAATAAATTCCCAATATCCAATTTGTTAGTTTTCTCATTCAATTTATACCATAATACTAATAATAAGTGTAAAAGTTTGTCACAATGTTTCATACATTGTCAAAAACTTTACATTTGTATGTTTCATGTTCCTTCACGCAAAAACGGATGGGTCGATTTGGGTGAAATTCGGAATGTAGATATGTAAACCCTAGAATCCTAGATACGTACAAAATTCTAGGTACACAGGATACGTCTTTGCAATTTAATAATAATAATTACACCTTCACGAAATTATTTTACTAAGTAAATAGGTATTGATTTCCTATTTTTTAATCAATTGAAGAGAAAAGCAGAATGAAATATCATTCACTGTTGAATTTGACATTTTGCAAGTGATGAGTTTGATTGATTGGTAACTAACCGTATAGGGATATTAAATTATTTCCGATTTCCCGCTATTATAAAGTTTAATATCCGGATTTTTTTGAGGAATTTCAAAAGTAAAATACAAGTAGCTAATATAGGTAAAGGTTTCATTTATATGTCACCAGCGCGTGGCTTGCGTGTCGGCTGCGCCCGGCTAATCAAAACAACTAGTCATACTTAACGTGTCGGCTGCGCCGAAGCATTTATTTTGGATTTGGTTACCGTTACGACTACCGTGGTTACGACTAATTTTAAATCGGATATCCGATAGTTTCGGTTAAGGTTACGGAGCTCCCTAACATCCTTGGTTCTAAATTATAATATGATTTTGTATTTGAAGGTATGCAAGAGCATACTATTACTTCTGTGTACCCATTGGCTAAATCATTATGTATATTTAATAGAATCTCAGGACAAATAAAACCAGTATATGAGGCTGGAAAAAATATATTTATTGAAAACCTGGAAATAGTACAAAATGATATTATCAAGAGCAAGAATAGTTAAAAAGTATGATGATGATTGATGCATGAATGATATTGGCGAGAGGGCGGGTGGATTACAAGATATAAATCAATGGTCGATTTGAAGATAAAAATTATGGGCAATGGTCGATTTGAGACATGCACAGAAACAGAAATGTTACACAAGGCGGTCCTAGGGTGGGGGTAAATGCACTGGGCGCCAAAACGAACGACACGGCGCTCGGCTCGGCTTTTTCTCGTACCCCTAAAAACATTATTAAGGCCGGCACAACTTAGCAGCAATATACAGTATAGGAACTTAATGGTCTTCTAAAATAAACCTCAGGTACTTACTCCACAGACCATGTGACATCGGACATCTTCAGCTTGGTTGTATATTACCAGGTCCATTTTGATTTCTTTGTAAGATTGACTTTTATATGACCATTACTTTGACCAAGATCTAATATGTGAAATATTTATAAGACAAAGGTAAGGTATATCCTATATTCTACTAAATAGCAACGTAGTTGTTAAAGTGAGGACACTGCTTGCAGCAAAATAAATACGACTTATCCCTTCAGTGTATTTTTTACAAACATTTCACATCGATCTTGGCCAAAAATAAGTAGGTAAGATTGTATATTAAATTATAACTTATATATTGTTTTAATTTATACTTAGTATTTATTCCGGTCCAGTCTTCTTACAGCTATTTTCTTCAAGTTTTTATTGAGTTTGTCTAGAAGCCCTTTGCTTTAACTTCGATTTTGAGAGTTTTGAAGTTTGAGTTATATTTTTCTTGATATTTTTATGTTAGTTAATGTATGTATCTATTTGAAAATGTGTTTACTGCAGTTAGGCGATAAATTTGAATTTATCTGAACAAATTAGTAATTATATTCCTGTTCTTGACGTTTCTCATTTTGAGATGAGTATTAAAAGAAATTTGGTTTGGTCCTATGTCAAACTCGTATCTTCTCAATTTTTATTAATGGATTGCAATGTGCTCACCACAATAGCAGACAAAATATTTTATGTTTTTACACCGTTTAGTACCAATTTAACATTTTTGGGTTTTCTTACAACCAATTGTATGTATTATAAAATTAAAGATGATTTATTTTGTTATTTTATTTATTTCATAGTCACACAATATTGAATACATTATATTTTCAACATGTTTCAATGCAAAATTTATTAAAGAAAGTGCAAAACCTTTTTTGATACTTTTGTAACGTTTGGGCTAGCAGCTTTCTCGTGTATCTAGTCTATGTGCATTTAAACTAATTTAAAACATGTTGAATGCGTTTTAAGTTCAACTAATATTATTAAGAATTACTTACTAACAAAGTATTATTTTTATAAAATTGCTTTTTTGGAATTTACATATAAATACTTTTATTTCGATCGCTACCTAGTTTAATGCGCGTACGCATTTTACAGTTTTTAAATGTTCGCAGCATATCCATGCTTAAATGCTGTTTGTATTACAAAAAACAAATTAAAATTAAAACCTTTTGTCAACAAAATATTTTTAAACTATTTTTATTCTGTAGATTTTTGATAAAACACAATTTGTGCCGTGATTGGTCCATAATCAGTAATCATCATTATTTTTAGTCAATGTAAACATTTTGTGTACTTAGAAGTTGTATTGTTTTTCTTCTGCCAATTTTAACGTTTTAGTCTTCATTATTTTTCATTGTTTGTTTTATTTATCTTGTTTTTAATATCCAATACAACTTTTTTACTCACCTAATGGGAGCGTTTTTTGACAGTCCTGAAAATGAAAACAGACGAATTTATTATTTAAGAATTATGTGATAAGTGAATATAGAAATAATAAACAGGCAACATAAATATCAATATATCCCAAATATTGGTTAATTAGAAGCAAAACTAAAAAGGTGTGCACAGGCGCTTTCCAACAATATTTGTTAACTTTGATGGGATACCATGAAGGGATCTTGGCACAAGAATCCATGTTTTGATAGCAATGGACATGATGAGAGCTGAAAGCCGACAACATTGCTTTAGTTTCCTTGAATATGGCTTTTACTGATAAAAATGACTTTAATTGCAAATCTCTGGACATACCACTTTAATTCAATTAGTATTTTGTTATATTCAACAGAAATTTAAGCAATATCGTCGAATACTATACGAAATGTATTGGAGGCAGCGCCGTTGTGCACTAAAACAAGTACGAACGGCAAGTGGCTCTACTTGGGCGGGCGCGCGTAGGGCTCGGGGCGCACGTAGTGGCGCGGAGCGTGGTGCTGCGGCTGCATGGGAGCCTGGCGCCGCGTGCCCACCGCGCGCGATGACTTGTAATCGCGGTTGTCCTCCTTGTACCCGTAGCTCTCGTCCTCGTAGTACCGGTCGTGACTACGCTCGTAGTAGAAGTCCGGCTCCGGAGCCGCGCCTCGGACTGGGCCACGAATCTGTACAATTATAATTTTTGTTGTAATTATACTAAACTTTGGCGCCATTACCAAACTACGGTACATATGTAGCTGTCTAATACTTCCTTTTTGAGGATGCACGACGAAACGTTTTGACTTGGATAGAAAAGAATAAATAAAGAGACAGCTCACTCCCTGACAATGGCAAGATGATGAAAACAGGATCCTGGATGCGAGATAAGCTTAAATAAGAACATATACATACCGGTGGCTCTGGCGGCTGTGCATAAACATCGTCATAGGGGTACGAAGTCTCCATAGCGTTGCGTGCACGGTCTAGGATGCTGATAACCTTGTTCTTGGGCGGCATGGCGCGGGGCATGGGCGGCGCCGGCGGCATGCGGGGCGGAGGCCTGGCGCCGCGGGGCGCACCTGCGGGGGCAGCAGTGGTTGGAGCGGCGCTGGGCTCGAACGAGAACGAGCGCGGGGTCACGGTGCAATTGAAGCTGGGGACACACCGCCCGGCCGCGTTGCCTGCCGGGGAAGGCCACGTTATGTATCGCGACCCACGCTCGTCTCGTTGCATTGAGTTAATCAGAGTACTATGCAGTTATGTTACAGGTATCATGAAACAACAATGTGACCAAATTGATAACTTGTATGACATAGTAATAAATTATAATACAGGGATAATTATTTTTACCTGTCACTAAGAAAGATGCAGGTTTTCTTCCCTACTGTAAGCATAACAAAATCAAGTTGGTCTGGTTGCTTTACAATCACTGTAACCAAGCTAACAAACTACTGGGGAAACTTATGGATATAATAACAAGATAGATATCAAGCAGCTTTTTGTAGTAATCCATTTTGAAACCTCATAATGTGAAATGATTTAGCAGCAGCTAGCTAATAACATAACAATATTTTTCTTTCTTTCCTTCTTTCATACAAAAGCGGCAACATTTAATAGAGCTTATATTAAAAGCCAAAAATTGCAAGGAAGCATGAATTAATATAAACACTAAACATTCGTATTTTTTGTGGACAGAATATAAGCAGTATAAAGCATTTAAGCATGTCCATACCTCCTCGCTCAATATCCCTCATCTGAGTCTGCCAGATCATGTCATTGGCGTCAGGCACTAGGTATTTCTTGACCTCGGCGAGGGCGTACGCGATACGCGCGTGAGCTTCAGCTGGCGGCGCCAACGCGCTGATCTCTACATGCAACTCGTCGGACAGATGCGCGTATTTAGGATCCAGAGAGTTGCGGAGCTCTTCCTCTTTTTGCCTGTGGAGAATAATTGTTATTGTGTCAAGCTCGAGTGAATTACTAAATGGTTGCTGAAGTGATACCACTACCTTACAGAAAACCGGCGTGAAACGACTACAGCTTTGTTTCGCCGTGAGTGTGAGGTTACCGGAGGCCCAAATCCCACAAATATCCGAAACTATTATCCCCAATAATTCGGTAACGCACTCGTAACGCCGATTGCTTACCATTAGGTAATACGACTGATCGATTGCCGAATTAACCCATAAAGATGCAGTGATAAAAAAAAATCGTTTTTAAAATATTGTACTAGATCTCTTTGTTTTTTTTTACATATAGCATTGTATTAAAGTATTTTTTAATTTTTAATTTAATTGCTAAATTAAACTGTCAGAATTGTATGTATCACTATTTTCTCATAGTCTTAACTAAGTAGTTTAATAAATGCTGTTCAAAAAGAAATCGGGGGATAGGAGATTGCTACACAAAGTATTGCATCATCATGAATATTTTTAACAACTTTTGGTGAGCCAAAAAATTAAATTTAAGAAATCAGGAATGAGGGTAGTAGAGTATTTAGAATGTTATATACCTTGGTAAATCATATGGTTTTATTTTTCGAACTGGATCTTTTGGTATCCTAATTTATCTTGATAGCTTATTTTCTGTGTGTTTATTAAGTAGTAAGTGTAAATTAAGTTAGTTAGTTACCTGTCCCGCATTGATCCCCTGCCGAGCACAGCCATCTTGCACATGGTTTCTTCTTGCAAGTGCTTCATTGTGTTACCCTTGGGGCCTAGTAGCTTGCCAACAAAGTTGAACTGTGGAAGAAATATCACTGGTTAGGTCAGAATTGACACAGTATATGAAAATAAAACTTTATTTTGACTTTAACAATTAATTTTACTTGCTCACAAAATGGATATTAGTTCTATCTTATCTACAGCCCACCATAGCTTCCAAGGTTGCTATGCTGGTACTATATTTCTCCGCTATGTAATGGATGTTATTGGATTATACATATAAACCTTTCTCTAAAATCTCTCTATCTAAGCCATTTATTTTAAAAACTGCATCAAAATATGTTATTGATATAGTGACAGAGAAAGCAACTTTGTTTTAGACTATGTAGTAATATCGAACTTCCTTATCTGTTTATAGTTTCCAGAGAGAGAGAGACATTCAATTTTCAATTAATTAATGAGACATTACCTTATCACACATGTTTTATAACTACCAATATTTTATGTGTTATCTGTGGCCATTTAGGAGGGAAAATGTATGACTACAATTTGTAAAATTGACTAACAATAACTTAATTTGTATTCAGATTTGACATATTATAACATTTTTAATTTGATTATGTAGTCTGTAACTATGTTTGTATGCCTAAAAGGCCCAACATGATGGACCTATGGAACCTTATTGGGCATCCTGCTTTCTATGTATGTATACCAATGTTTTAATCAAATCAAATTTCTTGTATCTTGTATTTTTAAATTCTTCTCCCCCTTAATGATTATTAGCTAATCTGTCCATCTATTAAACATTGTTTTAAACTATAGCTTAACATGATTCATACCTTGGGGTGTTCCTTAACAGGCACCAGCACCTTAACAGTCACCTTGGTGGGCTTGTCACGGAACACATCCAGATACTTCGAGTCTTTGCCGGGTATCCTGCCAGATGCCAGGACTTTGGTCACCTCTGGAAAACAGTAATGCAAGGTTTATCAATATACCCACAAAATATTGTCTTTTATTTCTTTCTAGTTTTTCTGTTGTCTTGAATTACCAGAATTAAAAGGTTAATTTCAGGAATATTACAGTATTTGTGGTGGTTTTACAAAAAGCTTGATATTTATTTTGTAAATTATTATCTTCGCACAGTTTCCATACTATGTTTGTTGGGTTAACTTGGAATAGTGATCCACTTTATATTTTCAAAACGAAGTGCTGTCTTCCACAACCAGCAAAATTATATGCTTTGGGTTAAAAAAGAAGAAACATGAGGTTTTTTTTAATATGGAGGATAATCCTGTGCCATTGTGTGTGTGTGTGTGTATTTCTACAGAAAAATCAAATGTTGAAAAGTACCTTCAATTATCACATGGTTCCTCCAGAACAAATCAAGACAGTTTATTTTGTATTGCATCACATTCACAAGTGTCAAGCATATATAATATTTTAGCGAAAACCATTATCTTTATTAGTTACAGGCATTAGCTCTGATATAAATGGTATTTGTTATACTGTGTAGGGTACATACAACTATTTGCAATGTGCAGAGTTGATAAGATCATTATACATTGACTATATGACCTTAAGGTTAAGGTCAATGACCTATAACCAAGCAGGTTTTATAAAAAACAAGGATTTATGGAGTCCTATGGTTGATTTTACTCTTAACAAATTATTATGCCATTAAATATTACTTGTTAATTAGTAAGGACTGCAGACAATTGAAACTTGGCACAAATTGCCACATAGTTTGGCAACAAATCATGTCTGTAAGTTCAATGACCATGATTAATCATTATGGTACATTTTATGCAGACAGCAAAAATAAGTTTGTCGAGTGGTTTAGACAAATTCTGGTTTGTGTATTACGGTGTAGTATACGCTTAGATGTAATTAAACAGCGTTGATTATCCATTAATGAGTTTCTTACAAAAATAACACATTTATCAAGGCACCATGGAATAAAATGAAATGATTTTTCTGACCATGTCGTGAAGTATTCTTTCTAACCTATATGTCAACAACAATTATATTGTCTTTTTTTAGATTTTAAAAAGTATTGTCAAATCTAAAATTATTTTTAAATCTAATGACTCGTTAGTCATGGCTCTCGGCCGGCAACTTTCTCCTTTTAATTAAAGCATTTACCTTGGTCAATAAGTTTTGTAATGATGGGAAACTTAGCAGTATTGAGTTTGATTTTCTCGCTAAGTAATTCTCTCCTATATTCACTGGCTTTTTCATTCAATTTAGGATTATCATCGCCATCTTGTTCTTGTTCGTTGTCTATATTTGCATCTTGAGGCGCATTTCGCTTAAAGTCACTGCTGTTATAACCATTTTTATCGTATTTCTCAGCCATTTTAATAGCTTTACTTAAAACTATTATTCACTTCAACCAATGTAAAACACAAAAACTATATTACAATGACACAAAAACAGCGGTTATCTCGCATGAAATTAAAATCAATAAAGAACGCGGCACGTACAACGACGACGACGAGCCGGGAGTTGGATTCGTGGAATAAACAATCGCCATCTGCCGACTGCCGTGCGTTTTATTTAATCTGTGGTTTCAGTAGATTGTTTACATCCGGCTTTCGGTCATTTGTATTGGCTGTATAATGTTGGTGGAACTGTTTTTTTTGTCTATGATGTATTTCAAATTCTACCAAACACATTTCAATTGGGTAGTTTCCTAGGTCAAAAATTAATTAATTCGACGTTTTAATATAATAAAATATTGAAAAATAACTATACTTTTATTCATCGATCGATCGATACACTAAGTTTTACATATTTTTTAGCTAATTTTTAAAAAATAAGTAAGCTATTTGACGCAAAAATGCTATGACGTCATATTTCAATGTTTCAAGAAAAGTATCGTTTTTGACATTTGGATAAAAGTATTGAATTTGACTAGTTGGAAACAACCGTAAGATAACTAGACTTACCTATAAAGTTACTTACGTGCATATATTCATGGTTTTATTGGCTTATGGGAGATTATAATTTAGACTTAACAACAAAAATCTTATTTATGCCATTTTACAGATTTTAAAGATGGCAATCCTTGTCCGGGTGCCATTCTTTCCAAATCCCTGAATATCCGACACCCTAATCCCCAAAAGGCCAGCAACGCACTCGTTACTACTCTGGTGTTGCGGGTGTACATAGGTGCCGCCTATTGCTTACCATCAGGTAATCCGTCTTCTCGTTTACCGACGTATTGCAAAAAAGATGGGCCATTTAAAAAATAGTTGAAGGTCGCTTTCTACTATAGTCATTCAGTTTATATCAATGTGATCAGCATAAAATCATCTTTTTCTATAACACCCTAACAGTTTTTACAAAGAAATCCAAACTAATATTATAAATGCGAAAGTAACTCTGTCTGTCAGTCTGTCTGTCGTTTTTTCACGCCTATACTACTACAGACATAGTTTGGAACTCGAGAAATGACATAGTTTTTTACCAAAAAAGTGCGAACGGAGTCGCGGGCAAAAGCAAGATCAAAAATAAATAACAAAAACATAGACTAACTAAAAATCGCGGGTTACTCACGTCTATATTGAGAAAAGCTCTACTAGTTTCGAACCACAGAGGGGTTCTTCCTCATGAGCAGCGTGCGCGTACGCGGCGACGTCGCGCAGCCTACTCACACCCGCGATTTTTAGTTAATTTTGTATGTCTCACGATAGTTATTATAAAAAAACATAGACGATGACTTATTTGACCTTATGTCGAAGCTATGTTTCTGTTAGGTATGTACAAAAAGGTAAATAAAGGTTGAAATAAAAGAACGAAGTGTTTCGGAAAATATTCAAAATTATTATAAGTTGCAATCCAAAATAATATTTTTCATTTAGTTTTATCTTTTCCTTTCTTGTCTTTCAATTTGAGACGAGTTCGGGCATGTTGTATTACTATTATGTTGAACTCATTGTCGGGCGCCATCATGATTTCATTTTTTTTAGTATGGATTCGTAAAATCATTATTTCTTCTAGCGGATTCTGAAAAAAAAGTTGATTAAGGCCGTAGACAAAGAATTAAGGCTTTTGTTTTTTTTAAATGTCACACTAATCGTAGTGCTCACTAGTGTGTGTCACGCCTTCATATTGGTATCATTAATTCGGTTTTTAAATGCTTTGACACGTGTTCTGCATCACTCGATGTAAAAATGGTCGCAATTTTTTTTACTTATTTCAAATGACCCAAACCATGCTCAATACGTATTGTGCTATGATATGCGACAGATAACCACCAGCACAAACTTCACTACAATTAATTATTTACAAAAGACGAGGTAAGAAAGACTTCTTGCTGAAACTGCTTTCTGAAGCAAACGTATCGGGCAATGTGTGGGTCTTAAATATAGACGCATCTTTGCCAATTATGGGGGCTTAATGAGATGATGATACTGAAGAAAATCATAGAGCTAATGTTGTGACTGCAAATCCAATAATATACAGCGGTCCCAAAGCGAATCAGGAGAAGGCACGTGATAGTATTTAGTCAGTTAGAGTCTGACACTCCCTCAACCCACCTAGGGTGGAGGAGGTGATGATTTTCGGCTCTAAAAATGGTCATGGTCAATAATAGTTGTATCGAGTAATGTACGGCACATCAGTCAGGTTTTACACTTATTAAGCTTAAGGTATTCCTCACGTTTCGAAATTCCTTCTCATTCTAGACAACTCTGCTTTCATACTGGTGGACTGTGACCATGAAGTGATAACAAGTTTGGAGTATCTAAATCTATTTGATCTATCTTGAGGCCTATCCGAACATTTTTTTATAATTATTAAATCAAATCAAATCCTCATACCACTTCCTTGATGTACATTTGTGACAGCACACCGAACTTATGTAGGGCCCTTCCATAATTCGTAGCGGCCGTGATGCTCACATTTGTCAATATCGGCGCTCCTGGTACAAAGCGCTTCATATTAATATTAATACTCGCAGAATGTTTATTCTCTCTGATTTCGGCGTGATGTCGCCTTCGTAGATAAAATGTCACTCAAGGACGATGTCTTCGATGGAATATATAAAATGCAGATTGTTTTCATACATATCAAAATAGACTTGTGATATTGGAAGCTGGGTATGTTGAATATGAGGTAGAAATCAATAATTATAATATGTAGGTATTAATCGGTTAGGTAGTATCCACTAGCAGGTCTGTATCTATTTGTGAGAGGGTAGAAACAGAAATAGATGCGGGTATCGGTTTAAATTATCAGCTAGTTAATTAAATTCTAATTTACAACAAACCAAATATTTTTTAAAAGTCTAAGTACGTAATAGTAACCTTCTTTGTTAGTCATAATTACGCCCTCTACGGAATCGTCTTCCATTATTCGATCTACAATTGGATTTGCCGAGTTTATTGTAGCGGTCTGAAAGCAGAAATTAAAGGTGTAATGTCATACAGGTAGTTTACATGTTTAAAATAGGTAAAATCCGTTATATTTAGCCTCTTCATCTCATCTCTTTGCTACACAGTACAGGTAGAGTTACTTTCCTGCCAAGATTATTTAATAAAAACTTATTAGAATAACAATTTTATTGTCAATGGTTTCATTTCAAACAAATACCTACCAACATAATAAAAAAGGCGCGCTTTACCTAGTCTTTGAATAAAATATTCGAATATTCGATTGTAACAAATGTAATAATAGTGAACTTTCTTAATAAATACCTACTAAAAAGTGAGTAAACATAATACGTACCTATACAAATCTTCGAAATTGCAACAATAGTTATTTTTTAAAGGAGTACGTACCTACGTACACGGCATTGCTTGTAATTATTAACTGAATTATTCAGTGTGTATCATTCTTGGTGTCGAAATGTTTTACTTACTGTTCGAACGAGCCATTCATCTTTTGTGTCTTTCAGCAAATTAGTAATTATTTTCATTATTTCTGGAAATAGAAAACGTTCCTGACATATTTGTGAACACAATTAAAAAAAGTAAGTATGTATAACCTATTAATTACATCGAATCCAGTAGTGAGTCGGAGAATAAGGAGATATTACGTTAAGTACCATTGTGACTTTTTCCGAGTTATCTGTAAGTAGGTAGGTACCTACCGACTATTTAGACACTACAGACAAACTGTGAAGGAAAACATCGTGAGGAAGCCTTCAAATCGCTTATCCGTTTTGAGCAAGCGCGGTGATTAATGCTCAAAGCTTCTCTGTATGAGAAGAGGCCTTTCCGCTAGTGCACACTTTTAGGCTTATGACGTCTTATGATGATGAACGGTGGATAGCTCTATCATGGCTTCCTGTCTGGGGTAAACGTCGTATCATCATCAGCTACTGTATTTGTTGTTGTTGTATGTTGATGATATGATGTTGTTAATGTGTTACTATATTAATTTGTAACGAATTGAGGGTTTATAGGTTTCCGCTCGATTGTCGCTGACGACCACAGCCCTAAAGGTAAGTTATCTTGCCATAATGTCACCAGGTACAAACAGGATACAGCACGGTACCTATAAAGACAAATAAAAAAATAGATTTATTGTCTACCTTTACAAATCTCAAGTAATCAGCCTCAAGGGTTTCCTCACTCATACGCCAGCTAAGAATTCCCTGTCCCCCACCACAATGAGTTTCTTCGTATTGGTCATCATTTGAAATACGACCGCCTTGTTTGTAACATCCCATTGGCCATGAGATTAAAACTTAAACAGTTGTATAAAAAAAGTTCTGATTAAATTTAATGAAAGTAACGACTTGTTTACGCACATCGTCGTCGTGAGTTGACTGCGCGATGTCGCCGCGACGCGCACGCTGCTCATGAATAAGAGTCCCGGTGTGACTTGAAACTAGTAGAGCATTTCTAAGTTAATTCACGAGAGTAAGTCGTTATTTTCAATTAATTTAGTATGTCTCACTATAGTTATCTATTTAATGTTCATAAAAAGTTCTGATTTTATATGTATATGTACATACATATTTTATATCGAAAACACTGTTGTGAAACTTAAATTAAGTGTTTTAGGATTTTTTTTATTCTAATTTTTACTGTCTGACTGTAGTTGTTTCAATCTGCTGCTTCAATCGACTGCATGGTTGGTGCGGTGGCTGGGCAACTGGCTGCCGTGCAACGTATCGCGGGCTCGATTCCCGCACGGAACAATATGTGTATGTGACATTGTATGTTTGTAAACGCACCCACAACACAGGTGAAAATCCTTAAGTGGGGCAAAGTTTTTTTTTTTTAAAATCTTACTTAACTTACTGACTTAACGATAAGACCCGGAACAACAATTTGTGGATCACACAAATACATAGTTGTTCCGTGCGGGAATCGTACATGTGGCACATTGCGCGGCAGCCACTGGCCCAGCCACCGCGCACAGAAAAACCTATTTTATAATGTTCGTGGTTAGCTGCTATAGGTACCTACAAGTAGCTCAACACAGGCTATAAAGGAAAGCCGTCTTCTTATTAGTGTTTGCAAGTAATAAGTCAAATATGTGCACTGTACATGTGTATAAACTAGCGACTAGCTCTCACATACGAGCTCCTTGGATTACTTCTCTTTGTGAAGACGTTAATAAGAAAGGAGATTTTGAAATGAACACTTTGAAGCCTGGGATTAAAGTTCAGTTTGCTATAGCGAATTTTAACGCAAAAGCAACTGAAGTTGCGATGGACGAGAGGAATTTCTCACTAAAATTTTATACTAAAGCGTTGTAATAACAAAATCTTTTGGCATAAAATGGTTTTAGGTGTTTTTTTTAAACGATCAGTGTAGTTGGGCATCCTCTATTCAGCATTATTTTTGCTTCATGAACATGGCCTAGTTTTGAAAACCATTTTTTTATAAAACTAGGATTTAATTTGTGGTGAAGATATTTTTACTAATATGCCTACTAAACGGGACGGGAATCAGACGATTAAGTGTGGGAGAGCCAGGCACGAATGGGTCGGCTCGACTGGAGTGACAACACGGAAAAAACCACCGTTTCGCCGCATGAGTGAGGTTACCGGAGGCCATCCTTCACCTCCCCCAATCCCTTTCCAATCCCTAAATCTCCAAATCCCTAATCCCGGCCTGGTAGGCAACGCACTCGTAACTCCCCTGTTGCGGGTGTCCATGGATGGCGCTGATTGGTTACCATCAGGTTATAAGTCGCCGAGGTCGTTAGCCGACCTGTTACATAAAAAAACACGAATATAAACCAAAAAGTTCAAATCTCCGAAAAATAGGGGAATGAGCATATAGAATATAGAATGAATCATAAAACCGTACAAAGGCGGTCTAAGTGCCCTAGGCATTGTCTTTGGTTGACTTTAAGGTTATGTACCTACAGAAGATTCCAGACGACTTTTATCTATTCTGATCTGTCTGAGAATTTGGCTTGTCTTTGAAAAACGACCCTTTATATTGGTGCTCTAGGCAATTCTGTGAAAATAGGCATCAAAATATATATATCTGTTTTACATACTCAAGCTTATGATGATCAAAACTAATAAAGTTATATGCTTAATAAAATGCTAAAATTAAATGAATAAATCTGTCGTTCAGCTTCTTATTAACAATACTTCAGAAACAGGCAAGCTTCTGTTGAACGTCTTAATTAGTTCAAAGTAATAAAATCAATTAAATAAGTCGATAAGCCTTTGGGGAGGGAGGTTAATTAAAGAGAGATCGATAGCTGTGACAGGATTAAGGAAATGAGGCATTATTTTATTATATTGGTACTTCGCTGGGACTACATAATTCATAATTAAAGTTGCGTTACTACGAGTATGTCTTAACATTCCTAGAATAATATCATCATCATCATCATCAGCGTATAAGTTCTACTGCAGAACAAAGGCCTCTTCTCACAACTGGAAGGTTTGAGCATTGACCAGCACGCTTGCTCAAGGCGGATTCGCGATTTCAAACTTATATTAGTTTATTATATGTTCAGGTTTCCTTACGATGTTTTCCTTTACCGTTTGTCAGTGGTGTCTAAATAATCTCAGAAAGTACTTACATATGACTCGAAAAAAAAGTCACATTGGTACTTACCAGGTTTCGAACCGCACCCTCGTGCAATAAAAGTGGGTGCCTTAACCTCCGGGCTACCATGACACATATCTAAGTGTAATAAAACCATGTATGTTTGTGTGTGGAAACAATAATTAAGAAGCGATATGAAATAAAAATAAATGCATTTAAAAAAACATACTTGAGAAGTACTTGCTACTGCTAACCGTGCAGGTAATCTGCACCTCCCATGAAGACCTGTAATGCCAGTGGAGTTGACAAGTGCGCCGGTGGCCTTTAGCTGATTAGCGTTTTAAGGATTGGGGGTTTTAGGAATTGTGGATGGTGTGAGCAGGTTCCAAGGAAATTCCTAGTGTGTGCACCCTTGAAATTTTCTAGGTCTTAAATAATGTTATTTTTTATGTAATAGGAGGCAATCGGGCAAACTGATCACCTTATCAAAAAGCTCTTAGGACTAAGCACGTTCCTAGAAGGTTTGAACGTCGTATAAATGAAACACTACGTACTGTTAATATTACAGCGCAATTTTATTCTTCCTTAGGCACAAAAATTAATGGTACAGACTTATTATTACAAAGCGATCGTCTTTTAGTTATTTCTATGAATTGTTTGATTTTATCTATATCGTTTCTCATTTCGTGCAATTCATTGAATATTTGTTTTAGTGTTTTACCTGTATCATTCGCGCATTGTTTATTTGCGATGTCTTTAATTGTAGATGATATTTCATCTAGTTTCATTTGAAATACCATTGATCCTAAATGTTCGTCAGATTGTTTCTTCTGTAATTGTACCCGTTCAAAAGTGGCTTCTCTCAACCGAGTCGGCAAACGGTTGCGATTTTTGCACGTAGCCTTACGCGGCCGTAGCACAATAACGCTCTCCAACTTTATGTTGTTTTTAAATTTATTGTACAAGCGTTTTGGTAGTATACTTTCAAGTAATTTATTGGAAACGATATCTTCTAGCGATGTTATAAACTCCGCTTGCTTTTCCAACCTTTTAATACTGCCAATTATTTCTAAATTATTGACGTCATTAACTGCAACACCGACAATCAAATTCATAAGAACAATTGAAACTAGAATCAGAAACGTAATGAAGATTAAACGTGACATAAACAGTGATCCTGAAGCTTTTAACACGCTCTCCTTACTCAAAGAGTCATTATAATCAAATTCTGATGTCATCATGACCAACGTTGTGACGAAAGCACCCATGGGACCCTCGAACGGAGGCTTGGCATGGAAATGTATCATGAAGCTCACGGAGAAACCGAATACTAAGAAAACGAAAGATAGTAAAATCTGCAAAAAAAACAAGACAACGTTCATAGGTATATTTCTGACATAATAAAAACATTACTTATAACATTTCATGAAATCACTGACCTTTAAGACTTTACTTGCAACTTTACCAAACATCAAAACATAATATCCCCAGTCAGGGAATCTGGAGAGTAAGAACATCATTTCGAACCAGGAAAACAGTAAAGCGAATGTGGCGACAAGACGCGCCCATTCTGGACTGGTCTTTGTCTCCCATGATACAATTCGAGGTAAGAAAACCGCCAGCGTTATATAACCGATTTTCAACCATGTCTCCCAACAGATAAGGTACCTCTTGCTTTTCATTTTGACAAACACTATTTCCTGGAGGTAAAATGAAAAATATTATTATTACTATAATATCCTTAAAAATGCAATGCAAATGGTCATATTAATTATTGTCATAGGTACTCACTTGTACTACAATCATGCATATAGTCAAATAAATGATATGTATCCAAACATTACTGCGGAAAAATATCGGAACATTTTTGTTTTTATCTTTGTAATAAAAAATTGAAAGAGCATAAATATTGAGGGATAACACAAAAGATGCGTGTAATATCAAGATACTGTAAAAGAATGACAGTAAAGATTTCCATTTCAGAAAAAGAAATGTTTGCACCAAAGGATGGAGCAGTAGTCTATGTTGGTCGTATCTATTTCCAGTATTTATCAAAGCATTGATAACTCTCATTTGTTTCATGTCAGATTCTCTTGGAATTAACACTCTATAGTCGACAATAACTTCACAATCCGCTTCCTGGAGACTTCTTCCTTGGCTTGATATGTAAGAATCAAAAATTTCTTGCATAAATTCAGTTGGTTTCGACAAATTATTCATTAATATATCAATAGGAGCTAGTTTTGATTTTGAGTTTCTACCTCTTCCGACTTCTGAGAGATCAGCTCCCTTGCGGAGAAGTAATACTATCATCTCTCTATTTCCATTACTGCAAGCTTCGTGTAAAGGTGTTCGTCCGGCAGAATCAGGACAGTGGATAGTTTTACTATCATGTTTTAAAATTATGTCTGCTATTTCGCAATAGTTTTTACCTGCCGCTATATGTAGTAGTGAAGTCCATTCAAGAATGTCTTTGCCGATACAGTCATTGCATTGCACATAAACACATACTTGTGCGCCTTTAGAAATAAGTAGTTCTGCACATACAGTGTGATTATTGCTGACGGCATAAAACAATGGTGGGCCGAGATTATCAAACTTGTTTATCAACCTGGCTGTTACTTGTGGATTATATTCAAGTAAATATTCCAATATATCCTCATTCCCATGTTTAGCTGCTAGATGAAAAACGTTAGTGTCCATAGCAGTTTTCAGTTCTATATTAGAGCCGGAGGAAAGAAGTATTTTGAGAACGTGTAATTGATTATGACTGATCGCTTTAAAAAGGGCCGTCTCCCCTTTTTCATTACGAAAGTCAAGAGTATTTGTTAATTTTGCAATAGCTACTATCTGCTGTAGAATATCAATGTTACCCACTTGTGCTGCTATATGAATGGCTGAATCTCCATTTGCCTAAAATAGAATAAAAAGTTTAGCAATTAAGATAATAACGCCAACAGATTGTGTTTCTAAATAGATTTTCCTTTAGGTATGAGCTTTGGAAATCACCTTCAAAATAATGCTGGCTTTTGCTCCGAGAGCAATGCATACGCCTTGAGTCCAGCCTTCTTTGATTGCAGCATAGAGTACAGTAAAACCCTGTTTATTCTTCACATCTATTGTTGCCAAATAGGGATCTTCATTGCTGTATTTAAAATCTGCTAGTAACTGGAAAGATACACAATCATTACCTACTTACTACCACGATGTGTTTAGTTATCAGAGGTTAAAGGTTTTATTGCAAGAAAAGTCTTTGTTATGTACCTGCAAAAGTTCCTTGTTTCGTCTCTTGACGCAGATATGCATGGCAGTGGACCCTTCACTATTCCAACCTGTGGCAGAGGCTCCACTCAGAAGCAACTGCTCAACCGAAGCCTCACTTTCAAGCTCAACTGCCGTGTGCAAGGGAGTGTCAATAGAATTAAAACTGAGACTACATCTTCGTTTTTGTATTTGTTTTCCAGAAGTCAGAAGCAGATTTATCGTTGATTTAAAGCTAAAAAGAAGATTTCTTGATGTATTTGTGGTCCACAACCAGGATGTAGATAAAACTTAGTAAATTGTTAGTTTGTAATCAGCATCGCTAAGGAGTGCAATTCTTTGCCGGAGTCTGTGTTCTCCAAAGGGTATATTCTCGGTATCTTCAAGACCCGAGTCCACAGGTAGCTTGTGGTTTCTGTATCGTAGGTCGCATCATTGTTTACCACCAAGCAGGCAGACCACCAGGAGCGACGGCGGCCAAATGCCATGAAAATTTTTCATTACGAAATAAGAAGACAATTGTCAGTAGTTGAAGTCCATACACAGTCCGTTAAGTCAAAAACAGTCTATGTCCTTAAGGGACAACTTTTTAACAGTGCCACTTACTCCTTTTCTTCAATTTTGTGCCCCATATAGTAGGCATAGCCGACAACATCAAGTGGAGTCCTGTAAAGCGCATCTTGAGCGTTTACATTAGCTCCCGCAGCAATTAAGAGTTCTACACAATGGTGTTGGGCACGAGCGCAAGCTGCGTGTAACGCTGTCCATCCATGGCACCATCCATGTTTTGTCTTTTCATTCTGGAATGGTGGTAGCTGCAAGGCATAGAGAATATATTGTCACATGTTTAGGGAATGCCCCTTTCATTGAGTCACTAACTTTAAAAGGAAAATAATGGAGGTAGGTATACAAAGGTTTAAGGTTTTTCTAGTATTACTGCAGGTTTAGTCATAACTGGAGATACTGTAAGTACCTAACGACCCTTTTACAACTTACCATGTCTTTGATATTCCTGCAATTGTGTTCCATTCCATCGCTCCAGTTTACATCAAGTGTCTTCTCTACGTTAGGGTTGCAAGCCATGTTCGTGAGCGGATGCACTGGTGTACTGTGATACCTTATCTGCCCAACCAATTCCGATGACAATGGAACGCAATTTACAATGCGTTTCCTTAGATCTAAAATTGTTTAAATATGGATAAAAAGTCAAACAGATTTCACTCCTTAAGTAATTGTAGCAAGAGTTCAAATTCATCTACCTTCAGGGAAGTTGAGTATCAAAGCTATCTGTTTGGCGTTTCCCTCCCATGCAGCAAAGTGCAGGGGCGTCCTGCCCTCCTTATCAGCTCTAGAGACATCAGCTCCGTGCTTGAGGAGTAACTCCAAGACGTCAGTATTTTGCATGGCTGCGAGGTGGCACACCGATATGTGATTCAGTCGGCAAGTTGCATTAGGGCTGGCTCCCATTGCCAACATCCTAAAAAGTCAATTGCAGTTTAATTTAATGTAAATAATCAGTAATTCGATGCACTATGTGTAGAAGGATCCACTCCGCCAGACTGGACTCTACCACGGCCTCACAGACAATCGTTGAACAAGTGAAACAAGCACAGCGTTGTGTGTGAGTGAGGATCCGTCTCCTCCGTCAATACCTAAATCTCCTAATCTCTAATCCTCAAATAGTCGTCAACGCACTCGTAACTCCTCTGTTATTGCGGGTGTCGATGGGCGCCGCTGTTTGATTTTGATCAGGTAATCCGTCAGGTAATGTCGTACAAACAAAACTCACGAGGCCTATTATTTTCTGCTGTAATGCACATACCTAATCAATTATTTTGATAATGTTTCTTTTTAATATTTTTTCTTTTACCTGCTCATAAACGCCATTTCTCCGCCAGCCATCGACTCGATGAGTCGTGTGTTCAGTCTGGTTACATGTGTGGCGCTTTGTCTCATCGTTAGAGTACATTCCAATATTTCCAATGAGTTCTTAGTCAAATTTGAGACGAGGGCTGCTGGGAAAAATGGTTTCAAAGTAGCACCATGTTGGCTACTTGATGGTGTCCTGAAATTGTAATTTTGATTAAATAATTATTACAGATCCTTTTACCTTTATTCCTAAACGCGTTCTGGAGGGCAGGATACCTTTTTGCAGCAGTTAATTTGTGTAAAATACTGACATATATTACAAAATGTAATAGAGAATCACTGCCAATATCAAAATTAATTGCATGTATTGTGTTTTTTTGAAATATTTTGACAAAGATATTTGCCACATGACGTGAAACTTTGTTATCGCCTGAAGAAATTATTGTCATCATCTCGCTATTAATGTTCACCGTATGTACGTAAGAATCTAGAACGCCCATTTTGTTGCGATCTGAATTGCGTTGGCTATTGATAGCGAGGTGAAATATTAACTAATAATGTCACTTTAATTATAAGCTGTTGAGTTTCCAATAAAAAAGTTAGTTTCGCATGCATATAAAAGTAATAATCTAACACGGGCTTTTAAAAACATCAGCGTTTGAAGTGATAGCTCGACTAAAATACTGAAATCAAAGTATAACTTATAGCTTCAGGAACATTGTAGCTATCTATCAGTGAACGAATTTCGGAAATCCGACAAGCGCAGCGGTTCCAATGATTTTCCCCTACATACCAACTTATTTGCTGCTTTATAATATTAGTATAGATATAATATATATTTTTGCGTGGTTTTAGTGTTAAAAATGTTTAAAATGATTGTATATTTACGCACAGCGTTTTCGTAGACCTCCTGCTATCCAGACTTCTCGACTTCAGATGTCGATGGATCTTCTCTTGCCGACGCTCCACTATGTCGGAATTATTGTTACCATCATCCATTAAAGAGGTATCTATGAAAATATAAAAACATATTACACTTGAAACTTAATAAATACTATTAGTATGTTTTGTCGAAATGGCTGTTGTTTATGTAAAATCATCAAATTAATTCTGCACTGTAGTTGGAGCGTGCGAGTATTATACTCTTACTGACTTAAGAACACCCCAGTCTCTCATCCTGGTCTGTGTTTGAAAGAAAAAAAACAAAGAAAGAAGAAAGAAAGAAAGAAATATATTTATTTGACACACAGACACACACAGTGCCGAAAACTACATATTACACAAAACATTTTAACGGGTTGAGAATATGTGTACCATATTTTTATGTTTTTACCATATTATTGCGCGCGCATTCGCAAGTTTTTCAGAAAATAATTTAATAATAGACTTCCCGAAATTGTCGATGTGTACTGTTCTGGTGAATTACCTACCTACCTTTTCAATCCAACATTTTTTAATAGACACGTAACAAGCAAAAAAGTTGTGTGAGAAACACTAATTTTTTAAGGAAAAAATTATGTACTTACAATAGATAAGTATGTCGTACTGGAATTTTATTTGAATAGAAAGGTGTGGGAGACCCGTATTTCATTCACCACGGTCGGTTTGACCGGAGTGATAGAACGGCCTCACAGAAAACCGACGTGAAGCATCATTTGTGTGGGAGAGCCATGCTTCGGCATGAATGTCGGCTCGACCGGAGTGATAACACGGCCTCATAGAAGACCGGCGTGAAACAACCACAGCGTTGTGTTTCGCCATGTGAGTGAGGTAACCGGAGGCCCAATCCTTCCCCGCCCCCAATCCCTCCTCAATCCCTAAATTTCCAAATCCCTAATCCCTAAAAGGTCGGCAACGCACTCGTAACTCCTCCGTTGCGGGTGTCCATGGGCGGCGCTGATTGCTTACCATCAGGTAATCCGTCTGCTCGTTCGTCTCTAATAAGTATTTAACAAGATGACCCCTTGTATCCCCTGTTCTCAATCCCCTTTCCTTAAATCCTTAATGTTTTACAAGAGTCTTCTAACAAAAAATGTAAAAAGGCACATACCTGAATCTCGGGACAGGTGAAGAGATGCTGATTTAGCGTCATCACGATTATTGTTCTTAAATCGGATCATAATTAGAGTGATTTATTTACAAGTTGAACATTACTCCTACAAAATACAATTAAAACTGAAACTATATAACATACATTGTTATATATTTTATTAATTTTCCTTATTCCTCGGGTGTCTACGAAGACAGATCTCATTATTAGGTATATAAAGAACGGCGACAGACAGACAGTAATTATATACTCTAAGTTATTCATCTTCCTTCTAAGTGAATAACCTATATGTAACAAAATTTTGGTTTCTTAAATTATGTGGTTTATATTACAATAATAACAATCGCCCTCTAATGAAAATAAAAATGATAAATAAAATAGCCTAATTTTGTTTATTGGTTTTTCCATTTACTACTTAATTGTCACTTAGGTAAGTACCTTTTTTGTGAATGGTATCTCCTTTAAATGGCTTCTCCTACCCAGTTTGGGGCGAGAGGGAGTCATCATCCCATCAGCCTATAAGTGCCTACTGCTGAGCAAAGGCTTCTTCTCATACGGAGAAGGTTAGAGCATTCATCACCACGCTTGTTCAATCAGGTTGGCCATTTCAAACTTATAATTAGAAATTATAAGTCCAGGTTTCCTCACGATGTTTACCTTCACCGTATGTTAGTGGTGTCTAAATAATTATAGAAAGTACATATAACTCGGAAAAAGTCACATCGGTAGGTACTTGCCAGGTTTAGAACCCTTAATCTCCGGGCCACCACCACGAATTTCCCGAGAGGGAGTGTCAGTCTCATACTGACTAAAAATCCCCCTTCCTCTTGCTGTAGGCCAAGGCCGCGATGCCTTATTGCGCTAGCCCCGCAATCTTGGTTAAGAAGTCACTTATGAACATTGGTAAAGGAAAAAAGACACAGCAAAATTAAAATCACGGACAAAGCAAGGCGCAAAGAGCTAGCGATATAATAAAGCTGTGATTCAGAATGTGTTTTGCAAATGAGTAATTAAGGATATTTTTTATCTATTTATACATATGTAAAACAATGTAATATTATTATAAAATGTTATGTTAAACACACACTGTTACCTATTCACTTTGCATATATCCCGGTCGTGTATTTTATTTGGGTTAATTAGTTTATTATTAAGTCTGAAATACATAATCTAGATTATTATTTGTCGTAGTAAGTGTAGTCAATAATACATATAGAAGGTACCTATATGTATATATTAGGTATATATTTATATTAAGTAATTTGTTCATATTATACGAATAGTAATGGTTTGGCTTAGATTGCTATCCCATCGCCTTCGATGGCACAGGTTTCAAACTTTTAATCATAATTATTATCAACCGATACCGGGAGTCGATTGTGTTGATAATATTTGTTCTCACAATCCCAAAAAATCCAATAAAAAATTGGAAGTTCGATGTTTTTCCTTAATTATTTTTTATTTTTCGTTGGACCGACTAGACTGGCCGATACAAAATTCTTAGACTTTACTTATTTAAAACGCTTGTGCCCGCAAAACAAGCTAGACATATTTATACCCACTGTTAAATGGTTTAACCACAAATACATGTATGTATACTTATATCGTTTTCATTATTATAGAGGTATATACACATACATTATAAATACCATTGGTTTAGTATATAATATCATCAGCCTATAAGTGCCCACTGCTGAGCAAAGGCCTCTTCTCATATGGAAGAGGGTTAGAGCATTAATCACCACGCTTGCTCAGTGCGGGTTGGCCATTTCTACTAAAAAACTACACAAACTTATAATTAGAAATTATAAGTCCTGGTTTCCTCACGATGTTTACCTTCACCGTATGTCAGTGGTATCTAAATAATCAAAGAAAGTACATATAACTCGGAAAATCTCGGAAAATGGTTTGGTTTCGAACCCACACCCACCCTCATGCATGATGCAAGCGGGCTCCTTAACCTCCGGGCCACCACGACATTGGTTAATATGCAATAAGCATAAACTGGTTTCATGTCCCTAAAATTAAACCATTTTTTTTCATACCTAGACCCAAGACAACAGTATAGCCAGAAAAAAGTCCATCGTACGAAATTTGTATCTGTTTAGGTTAACATTACTACGCTGTCTTTTGATACTCATTAATGGTTACATTTTTAAAGTGCGTACGATATGCTAAACCAAATTATAATATATATTTTTTTATGTAATTGGTCGGCAAACGAGCAGACGGATTACCTGATGGTAAGCAATCAGCGCCGCCCATTGACACCCGCAACGGAGGATTTACGAGTGCGTTGCCGACCTTTTAAGGATTAGGGATTTGGAGATTTAGGGATTGAGGAGGGATTGGGGGCGGGGAAGGATTGGGCCTCCGGTAACCTCACTCACAGCGAAACACAACGCTGTGGTTGTTTCACGCCGGTCTTCTGTGAGGCCTTGGTATCACTCCGGTCGAGCCGACCCATTCGTGCCGAAGCATGGCTCTCCCACACTCAAATCCAAATTATTTGCACTAATTGTACTTAAATGACTAAGTAGTTGCGTAGTCTGGCTATTTACGATTGCTACTGACTACTCACATCCACAATCAACTGTTTTCTGACTAATTCCTAAACTGAGAATTTCTTACTGTAAGGAAAACCCGTTGTTTAGTAATTGCGGTAATAAGTACCTAACAATTATAAGATATTTTCGTTATATTTATTTAGTTGTGTTACGAGCATTAGTCATAACATTGTATCGTGTGTTTGTGGTTAATTACTAAACATATAAACAAAAGTTCGGTTGTACTTACCTATTTGCGTCAACTAGTCAATGAATCTTATCGAAAAAGTAAGCATTTTTTATTCGTATAGGTACTAGTAGTAATATTTTATTTACATACTAAGTAAATAAAATATTACTAATAAAATAATAATAAAAGAATTATCAATAATAAAATAATAAAATATTATTGATAATTCAAAATTACTGTAGGTATCCATCGTAATATTTCAGCATTACCTAATTAGCTGTAGAGTACTAGACTCTCTGAAGAATGTCTAAAGAGACGACATCGCGTCCTCACTTTCCGCTTGACGCTAGTGCTTATTGGACACGGGAACTTCAGTAAATTTAGGATGCAGCGGAAGGGATCGTCTGGGTGGAGCCCAGGGCGGTGGTGAGCCCTGTTTCGACTGAGCACCGCCGTGTCATTAGGGAAATGATCGGCGGCGGCGACCTCTCGCGCCCGGCCTTATTGAAAGACATGCTGCGGAGAGAAAGGCACAGTCGTCTTCTCTTTCTACAAATCCGTGATGCTCGTAAAGACGGTGGCGGAGGGCTTAAAAAATATTCTCCTAATGCCTCAGCTGCAGCGATAGGAGATACTCAGGAACCGAGCGATGATCCGGCTGCGATAAGCGCGGGTCTGCTGTAAGGGTAGCTCGTTATTCAGACAGTGTCGGTAACTACATAATTAGCCGTCCATTGCAGCATTTGAACCCACAACACACAGCAGCAGTCTTTGTATCCAAATTTTACGAAAGAAATCTTCTAAATTAAATGAGTCTGGACATATTAATAAACAAATTGATGGGATTGAAGGAGTTTTAAAATTACGTTCAAAAGTTTAAGGCAACAAAATACAAATTGAACGTTTTGAAATTTTTATTGATCTTAATTATTTTAATTTATTTACATTCTTACAATTATTTAAAGATATTTATAAACAAAATTACATAAATATAAATGCATACAAGGGCGTCACTTTCATCAGTGATGCAAGTCCAGAACCCGACGTAAAATCGTTACATTTAAAATATTTATAAAATTCCCACTCAAATTCAGAAATTGAATAATATTATCAAAGTAGTATTTTTTTAAATAACATAAGCTTACAATAGAAATTAAAAAAGAATCATACCTAGCTAAATTTTTTTTTCTTGGCTTAATCATTTTGACAATTTGTGCAAAATCATATCAATTTTATTGTTCAGGGTATCAATAGAAGATTTGATTTCATTTATTTCTAACTTCGTTTGATTCTTTATTTCAATAATTGCAGCGTCAAGTTTCGCCAAGTGTCCCGCGGCATCCTTAATATTTTTATTGGTTATATTTCTATCAGTCTTTGTATTTTTTGGCACATTATTATCTTTTTTGAATTTAACTGTAGCCCTGTATATTTCGTCTAATTTCTTTTTATAGTTCTGTGAACCTAGCTCGTCATCCATTTGTTTTTTTCTTAACTGAGCTTTTTCGAAGATAGCCTCTCTAATGCGGGACGGTAGAGATTTATAGCATTTAGATTTAGGTACACTAGGGCTAAGAACAAATGTAGAAAAAATCTTTTTCTTTCTTTTCAACATATCTTCAAGCCATGTTGGTAAGATTTTCTTTAAGATTCTATTATAGACTAAGTGTTCCAAAGATCCTAAGAATTCTACTTGTTTGCCAAGTCTTCTTACATTGCCAAGTACTCGTAAATTGTGAAGATCATTGACAGCAACACCTACCATCAAGTTCATAAGTACTATGGCTGCTAATATCAGAAATGTTAAGAAAATGACGCGGATAACAAGCAATGATGTGGCGAAGTTTTTGCTATCGTCTTCTTTGACAAGGTCTCCATAGTCGAACTCGGATGTCATCATCACTATAGTTTTGACGAGGGCAGCCCAAGGTGACTCGAATGGTATTTGGGAATGAAATTGTATCATAAAACTTAGGGCGAAACCAATCACCAGGAACGCGAATGTTAGAAGAATCTGAAATTTAAAACAATATGTATAAAAATGTACGCGGTCGTAAAAAATCATCATCGTCATCATCATCATCAGCCTATAAATGCCCACTGCTGAGCAAAGGCCTCTTCTCATACTGAGAAGGTTAGAGCATTAATCACCACGCTTGCTCAATGCGGGTTGGCGATTTCAAACTTATAATTAGAAATTATAAGTCCAGGTTCCCTCACGATGTTTAGGTACCTTCACCGTATGTCAGTGGTGTCTAAATAATCATAGAAAGTACATATAACTCGGAAAAAGTCACATTGGTACTTGCCAGGTTTCGAACCCACACCCTCATGCATGAGAAGCGGGCTGCTTAACCTCCGGGCCACCACGACACACAAAAACTAGTTAGTTAGAGATATCTTTACATACACGTAAAAAATGGAAAACCATTAATCAACAAACGAAATGTCTGTCACCTTTAAAACATTTGTAGAGACCTTCCCAAACATCAGTACATAATATCCCCAGTTTGGAAATCGGGACAGTAGAAACATCATTTCCAGCCAGGAAAGTAGTAGAGCCACGGTGGCCACATGTCTTGGCCACTCCAATTCTTTATCAGTTTTAATTTGTGTGACATATGGCAGGATCGCAGCAAGGCATATCGAGCTGAACTTTATCCAAGTCTCTAATTGTAGGAAGTATCCGTTATTCACGTTCATGTAAAGGACTTCCTAGAAAATAGAGTTATAATATTAAATGTGGAATGTTTTCTATTAAACAATTTTCTAGAGAAAATGAAATTTGTGATAAAACACAAAATGATAGAGTGACATAATATACACTTACTTGTAACATGACGATAACAATAGTGATGTACATAATAACAGCCCAAGCGGTAGTATTTAAAAGCAGCGGTACTGTATTGTTTGTGTCTTTATAAAAATATTCCGATATAATGTAAGTGGTCAAAGATACAACAAAGAAAGCATAGAACGCTAGCATTGTATAGAAAAACGGTAGGAGAGTTTTCCATTTCAAGAATAAAAAACTTTCTAATAAGGGATGCACCAATAGACGCCTTTGACCATACCTATCGCCAGTGTTCAGAAGCGCATCTATGACATTCATTTGTATGTTTTCATCTTCATTAGGTACCAGGATTTTATAATTCACAGTAACTTCACAGTCTGGATCATGGAGATTTAAATCGTTCGTAGATATGTAGGTATCAAATATGTTTTCCATAAATTCAGTTGGTTTTGACAAATTGTTCATAATCATATCGATAGCTGTGGTCCTACATTTATTAGGCCCACGTGTAGCTTTAGATAAATCAGCACCTTCTTTGAGAAGTAGCGTAATCATATCCCTACTTCCATAATGACTAGCTGTGTGCAGTGGAGTCCAACCCATATCGTTGACGATGTGGACAGTATCTTCGTTATTTTTCATTATAATTTTTGCTATTTCAACGTTGTTGTGAATAGCGGCGATGTGCAAAGGCGTGGAACCTTTTTGTAATCCGTAAGAAGATCTCAAACTTCTATACGTGTTTCTAGATAACAGTATCTTGACACATGCTGGGTGGTTGTTTTCTACAGCGAAATGTATAGGACCGTATCCTTTTTTATCATCAGCTGTCAGGTAATTAATCATTCTCCTAGTTATAGTATAGTCGTGATCCAGTAACACTGTGAGGACATCTACGTAACCTTTCTCTGCAGCTATATGAAAGACGTTGACTTGTCTCGGTAAAGTTTTAGTTATCGAAGCTCCTTCTTCAAGTAGTTTTTTTACACATTTTAAATGACCATTAATAACAGCTTTAAATAAAGCTGTTTCTCTTCGCTTATTAGTTGCATCTATTACGTCGTAATGTTTGGCTACATTTAATATTTCATTTAGTATTTCCACATTGCCAAACATTGCTGCAAAATGTAGCGGTGTATCATAATTGTTATCCTGAAAATAGAAGTTATGACGTTAAGAATTAGCAGTATTTAAAGAGTTATGATTTTTCTCAGATAAGTTGAAGAGTTTTTTATAATATCGATTTTGTGGTAGATACATACTCGTGCTGTGACGCTGGATCCAGCTTCTATTGCGATGCTTACACCTGGCGCCCAACCTTGCAAGATGGCTTTATAGAGTACAGTATGCCCGTCTTTATCAGTGACATCTACTGCTACTGGACTATCTCCATCACTGTATCCGTGATTTGCTAATATCTAGACAGAGTAGGATTTATACATTTCGGGGAATAGGAACGAAGTTTATTAGTAATTTCCAAAAAAGAACTGGTATACCTATATAAATTGCGATAATTAGTAATCAAGCAGTTAAGTTATAGATATTCTGTTTGTTCATTCACCTGTAAATGCTCTTTTAGTTTTTTCTTCACACATATGTGCAATGGTGTCATTCCTGCTCGATTAAGCCAGTTCACTGGCATCTTGGCACCAACGAGAACTGACACTGCTTCCAAGCTTCCCACTTCAACAGCTGTGTGAAGTGGAGTGTCAACTATTTTCTTGTTCTTGAATGTTAAATTTTGACTATTGGCACCAACAAGCAGTGTCACTAATTCACCAAATCTATAAAAGTAATAAGTTCACGTTTTAATGAATAACTTCTACAATATTTATTTGTACTTAGAAGTCTTACAAAGGAATTATAGAATGACAAACGACGGTAGATTGTTTGTCGTCTTAATGGGCTTTATATTGTTCCGAAGTAAGGAATATATGTGAAAACTGCGTTCATGTAAGAGGGTAGAGTTAAAATAAAGCCAAAGTAACATACTTCTGAGGATCAATCACTTGATCGGTATAGAACGCAGATCCAGCGACATCCAGAGGGGTTTTGCCAACAAGATCACGTGCACTGACATCTGCACCTGCTACTAAAAGGAGACGTGCACTGTGATATTGTGCGCGTGCACTCGCCGCGTGTAATGCCGACCAGCCTAGTTGAAATGTTGGCAGCTGAGGACATATGAAGAAACAAAAACGAGATGTTAAGAAAGTAAAAGAGTAAGATACTGTTTTTTTTTGTGGAGGAAGTAATCATTTCTGATCTGCATGCAGCGTTAGTATCAGAATTTTGCAGACTAAAAATCATCTCGTTCGATTTGCGGCTCCGGGCCAGGGTACGGGCAGTACTTGCACCTGCAATTCTAGTCGAAGATAGATACTTACATTTCGTTCAAGACTTTTGTTATGACTTTCCTTAGCGTTATCCCTCCAGTATGTTGGTAATGCGGAGTTGGTGCAGAAGTCGCATTTAACGTTGATGAATTCTTTTATATCCGAAGTCAAATTTTTTACTTCATTCTCATTGGCATCTATGATTTCGCCAGTATCTAGTCTATCTTGTAACTCTGAAAAGGGAACAGATATATTTCTGAAGTTCTCTACATTGAAAATTCTTTAGTCCTATTGAAACGTTGAGTATTTTTATGTTTATATTTATTAGGCCAGACTCTTACTGACTATAAACTAACCCGGTTCCTTTTCCTACTCCTCGGTACATTGTTGTTTCATCTGCAAACCCGGCAGTCAGCTCTATTGGGCCTCGTCAGTGGTGGTCTGCTAGCTCTTTGAGGCGCGCGATGTGCGCGGAATGCGGTTTTTTTCGTGCGGGACGGATAGAGAGCAATACCTCTATTCACTTTTTACGAAGACTTTTATTATAAATCAAAATACATTCTTACCTTTAGAGAAGCCAAGCAAAATCGCAACTTGTTTAACATTTCCTGCCCAAGCAGCCAAGTGCAATGGAGTCCGACCAAGTCTATCAGCCCTTTTTCTACTTGCTCCCGCATTGAGGAGAATTTCCAGGGCTCCATCAGTTCTCAATGCTGCTAGGTGGCAGGCGGAAACACAGTCGATACCACACGTGGCGTTAGGGTTAGCTCCGGCCTGCACCAGTCTGGAAATCAAAATAATGTTTACATTAAGTTTATTAGATTTATCTGGCCATTGATGATTCTGAGTTTATTTTACCGAAAACTATTGATAGAAAAAAAAAATATAAAAGACCATTGCCAAATATGTATAAAAACCAACATTGATTTTGTTTGTAGTAACTACATTACTGATGCCTGTAAGGTCATAATCTTGTTTTTAATTAGTATTGACTTAGGATATGATTAAATGATTGAGACTATGTAGAGCTACGACATCAACCAACGTATGATGGGAATGTAGGGGAAACTATTAGTCCAGCAGTGGATTGCTATGGTGGATATTGATGTTTTATATACTAATATTATAAAGAGGTAAAATTTGTAAGTTATGTTAATCTTAGGAACCGCTGGTCGGATTGCCAAAATTCTTTCAGTGATAGATAGCTACAATGTTCCTGAAAGCTATAGGCTAAAACATCACGCCACGATCAAATGGAGCAGAGCAGCGGGTGAAACCGCGCGAGAGTAGCTAGTTTTATATATAAACGATCAGACGGATCAACTGATAGTGGCTGATTAGCAATAGGCACCCCTAATGGACACTCGCAGCACTAAAGGAATTACAAGTGCATTGCCGGCCTTTTGGGAGAATTAGGGATTTAAGGATTGAGGATGAGGCAGGGCAGATTAAGCTTAACTCGGTAACCTTACTCACTCGGCCAAAACTCAACGTAAGCGTTGTTTCATGCCGCTATTTTGTGAGGCCGTGGTATCACTCGAATCGAACGTGCCCATTCGTGCCGAAGCATGACTCTTCCACACTTTTATTACACTTATTTACCTTTCAATTTCCTGTACATCACGATGTTTTACAGCTTCTAATAAGGATGTGTTTAGTTTTCTGACTCTAAGGCTTAATCTGGATATTTTTGGCAACGTGACAGCTGGTACCATAAGCAGCTTATTGCCCGATATTGAAAAATCTTCTGAAGCATTGTCTCCTTCATCTAAATCGTTGGTTTTTTGAAGTTTTAGCAGGGGTTGGCGGTCTCTGTAATATGATGTTGAAATTTATTTTTTTGATCCCATTTTCCCTTAATAGATGTATGATGAAAGTAATCAAAATTGATTGCCATGTTGATTGCTTATTATAGTTTGGACACTGTGAATTTGATAAGAATGAAAATGGCACGACATACCAAGACACCAATGTCCTAGTTAAAACCGGTGAAAGCATCTAAGTAGTCTAAATAAAGTTTAAAAAATTAAAAGTACTAAGTAAAGTATTCTGTTTCATTTTGATGTTGTTTCTTTAGAATGATGATGCGGTTATAATTTAAAAGAACAAGGTCAATGTTACTTACTCCGTAGCATCGAAGAGGCTTATGCTCCTAGGTCGGTACAGTGGTCTTCGTTGGGCATCGCATCCATTGACGGCGATCTGGGACATCGGTAACACGCGGCATCCCTCATTTTCGACTGAGTAATGGGCTGGTTGAAAAAGAATCACAATAACAGCAATTAGTAATACTTGATGTATTAAATGAATAGAAGCCTTAACTAATTTTATGATTTGTTAAATTCAGAATCTCAAATATTGTCTCCCTGTAGCACTCCCTGTAGCCGATTGTATTGTATGTAATGGCTAGTGGTCCCAGAGCATCATGGTCATACATACGGGTGATGTGTATCCCATACGGATAGTAGGTATCACACGATCTCTGGCGATTACCACTATACGTGGCGGGATATGAGATCGAGGATCTCAGTGCGGTGTGAAAGCAACGACTACCTCAAATGTTACCTCTTTATAATATTAAGTATAGATAAAGATATCTCTACCTAACTACTTTTTGTATTTGGTTCTACAACATTATTTACATATATTATTTAATACATTCTTTATGTGTTTTTGTAGTTATTTCCTGTTTGTCGTTAGTCGTAGGTATAAGTTTTATGTAGACATCTATAATTTCATCAGTTCTTAGTCAAGTACGAGGCATTATTGACGATTCCAATGTGAGTATGAGTGAAAACCAGGGCACGGTGAGTATGAGTGAGGCGAGACGAGGTGCCAGTCTTATTCTAGTGTTATTTATATGTTTCATTATTGCCCTTGCAAACTGAACATCGGTCCCATTTGTGGAATTGGTCTCCAAAAACCTGGGCCAGACAAGCCCAATTTTTAAACATTAGGTAATTGCTGTCTTTTAGATGAGTTCAAGTACGGGTTTTCAACTTAAGTTGCTCCAAACCTAGGCTAGAAGGGGTGAAATAACTGTAAGAAGGAACAGTTTTCCTCGTGAGGTAAGTTAAGACTTCATAATTGAAATTCGCGCTCGCAATTTCTTTCCCAACGAGGAAGGAAATAATTTACTATTCCGAATAAATAACAATAGGATAAATAAATAATAGCATAACTTAATTAAATTCAACTAACAAACAGTGGGTTTTTCCGTAGCAAAGGAGTGCATATAAAATAATGTCACCTTTTTGGTTTTACAATGAGGTCAAAATCTTATTGTCACAATTTGGTAGGGTGTGGTGTGAGTACTAAATTATAATCGTCATCATAGATTTCTATAACTTAGCCTAAGAGTAGTTGAACCCGTGACCCGTATCACAAACCACTCTACCACAGACTCTAACCAACGAGACATGAAAATAAGTTGAGGATACACTTTAGTTGTTAAACTTCAATCAAAGATGGCGCTGTTTTCAAGTGTCACATCCAAGTACCTTTTTTAATTTTAAAACGTAATATGATAAATTAGAAGTTCAAAAAAAAAATAAGTTGATAAGCACGTCACCCACCTTCAACGTTTGAATATTTATCAATAAACACAGAATCATCGGTATCGTTGTTCATTATATTTTGTTAAAAACTCAAAGTAACCAACCAAACTAACTTGACACTTAAATGATCAACAAAATCCTTTCTTGTTCTTTACCGAACCAAGTATTAAACTAAGAATCACTTTAAAATCACTAGAAATTAAATTCGACACACATTTTTAATTAATCTACCACTTATTTTTCTTCTTAAGGTCAAGTACGGAGGGGTTTTAGTATGGCAATCAGGTTTTAAGATAATTTGGTCAGCATATTATGCAAGCAGCCTACTTGAGTAGAAATAACTAAATGATCACACAACAAGTCTATTTTCCTTACTCTTTAAACAAACCGGTATTGGAATTATTACATTTTAAGCTGATTCATTCATAGGTCCGATAAGCGAACTTACGTAAATACAATCTACCTATATAAACAACTGTTCTATTTATTTATTTATATACTTACTACTTAGTGGACTGTCCCTGCTTCGCACAGGTGTCCGACTACACCGGTGTCAGCCATTTGTTTTGCAAGTGTACGGCCTCAGCACCGAAAGGGTTGTTAATTCCCGATATTCCCCTTAAGTTTTATAAAGTTTTTTTTTATGGTATAAGTCGGCAAACGAGCTGATGGATTACCTGATGGTAAGCAATCGGCGCCGCCCATGGACACCCGCAACACCAAAGGAGTTACGAGTGAGTTGCCGGCCTTTTGGGGATAGCGGTTGCGGATATAAGGATCAGGAAGGGATAGGGGAAGGGAAGGGATTGGGCCGGTAACCTCACTCACACGGCGAAACACAACACTGTGAGTTGTTTCACGCCGGTATTCTGTGAGGCCGTGGTATCACTCCGGTCGAGCCGACCCATTCGTGCCGAAGCATGGCTCTCCCACACTTAGTTTTCTGTCGTAAGAAGCTTCTCCTAACAATAACAAACATAATAAAAAAAGGAATCGTCAAGATTGGTCCAGGCGTTATTGAGTTATGCGCTTACTTACACATTTTGCTATTCATTTTTATATATTAGATACACGTAGATACTTTATTGCACTATTATTACAAATGTTTTTTTATGTAATAGGTTAAGCGAACGAGTAGCCGCTTATTGACACTCGTAATACTAGGAGTAACTCCTTTACATTTGCGTTTCTTGTGGACTATTAAGCATTTTAGGATAGGAGATTTAAGGATTGAGTACCCGTACTCAGGTTTGGGAATTTAGCCATGCTTCGGCACGAATGGGTCGGCTTCACCGGACTGATATTACGGCTTCACAGAAAACGAACGTGAAACAACAAACATAGCGTTATGTTTCGCCGTGTGAGTGAGGACACCAGAGGACTAACCCCTCCCAAATTTCGGCCATTGGTGAGGACCCAATCCCAAAAGCTCCTAATCCCTAATCCCCAAATAGTCGGTAACGTACTTGTAACTCCTCTTAGTGTGATGTGGCGGTGGGTGGCGCCGATGGTTGCCTACCACCAGGTAATCCGTCTGCCCGTTTGCCGAAGTATCATAAAAAAAACCTGCAACCCCGGTCAGGTAAGATGATCAGCTGTCATTCTTCGCCAATAATTCTTTACTTTCACATTATCAGTACTTAAAAACTGTAATTCGTTGGTCCTCAAGCATTAACCTCACTGCCTATCCTTTATTTAACAATATTAGTCACCAAGATATCTACACACTTGTACCTACTAAGTGTTTTAATAGAAATCCTTTTTCAGAATGCAGTGACATAAAATTACGTGTACAAGGCGGTTCATCATCATCAGCCTGTTGTCGTCCACTGCTGGAGATAGGCCTCCCCAATTGCATGCCACTGAGCTCGATGTTCAGCTCTTCTCATCCAACCACTGCCAGCCACCCTGCGGATGTCGTCAGTCCACCTAGCTGGAGGCGGTTAGCTATTCTGTTATGTCACGCCAATTAAAATTATGTAAAGTAAAACTGTGATTAATATTGTTAAACTTTTATTTTATCATGTTTAAGTCTTAACAATACGTAAACTTAACGATTTCATTCCGCACGCGCCTCAAAGAGCCAATAGACCAACACAGATGGGGCTCTATAGGGCTGATGTTCAGCCAGGGTTGCGGGGTTAGCGCAATGAGGCACCGCGACCTCGGCCGAGAGCAGGAGAAGGAACAGGGGGGTTTTCAGTCAGTAAGAGGCTGACACTCTCTCTACTCTCGACTTACCCTGGGCAGGAGAAGTCGTTTGATGATTTTCCCCTGACAAAAAAGAGAACTTAACAATTTATGGAGAGGGATGTTTCTGCACGAATAGGTTGTTTCAATCGAAGTGATAGGGATAGGGGCCCGTCATGGATAGGGGATCCCCAATCTTCAATTCCAATAAAAGGTCAGTAACGCCATGGGCGTCACTGATTGCTTACCATCACGTGATACATACATATTTAGGCTCGTTTGTCGACGTATCCCATTAAAGACTGGGACCGTTGGGATCAATTCAATCATCCAAGTATGGTACCTATGATGGGCTTTTCCATAGGCTTCTTTTATCGTAATTGGTGTAAAGCGCTAATCAGAATCTATTCTATAGTACAATATGTGCATGTTTGCCTGAATATTTTTATAGGTAATAAAACAATGTAAAGCTCGTCCTATGGCCTATCAAAGGCTTGATGTCACTCAGAATGGACCGTCCGCCAGGTAGGAATTTGTTAATATGTGCCGACAACAGGGAAACGACAGTAGGATAACTCAGATGTAATCTTAAAGAGAAGGTTTCTATGATTATGCTAGCCAAAGTAAAGATATAACGAGGTTTTATTGAATTTTATTTAAAAAAATATGAATTATCTAGCGGTTTCAAAATGTTAAATTTCTAAGAGAAATTAAATCAATCAACACAGTCAAATAAAAGTATAACCCTTACTATTATCGAAAACGTTGAGCAATGTTATTAAGCACATAAAAATAAAGCTAAGAAAAACTTATTAAACATTTAAAAACTAAAGGTAATCAAAAGAATTTAAAGACTCGATTTTGCCGTACCCAATTAAGTGTCAGTCAGTTTATCGGACAGACTTTGCCACTTCGTAAGAAGAAAAGTTCCTAAACCTTACATTTTTTTTACAAAATATATAAATATACAAAAAAAAAATCTACAAAATATACTAATAGGGTTTTAACCAAAAGTAGTGAAATCACATCAGTGCACGAAACTACTAAGATATTTGTTTCTAACAGATTTACAAGACAAATAGGTGCCGTATTGTAATTTAGTTTTAAATTCAATGGGACTTCTGTAGCTTCATCTAATAGTATTATGAAATGTACCGTCACGGGTGACTGGAACACAGAGGCATCTTAATATTCCATCAATACAGGAATTCCACTGCTATCCAATACCTATCCAATCTTGGAAAAGTCCGTGGTATAAATACCTTTGGGTGCGAGGACTGCAAACTTGCAACATGCAATCGTACTGAATAAAGAATAGAGATGAAAATTGATTGCAAGGCGTGCTGTTCAATTAAAAACTGGCTTTATCAAAGCTGTAATGAGCTTTTTATTGGCACAAGCCGTCGACTGCGGCGGCCTAGGCCTAAAGCAGGAACGGTTGAAGGAACGGGGTTTTTAGTCAGTAAGAGTCTGAACTATCTCGCCTGATCATAGGTGGGAGAAGGCATTGGATGATTTTTCCGTCACAATCAAAAAATAGATATATCATATATCAACCGAACCACGTTCCATTGGAATGAGTTTGGTACATAGATGTGACGTATTATGTACGCGATGTTCCATAATGTGTGCATGCCGCCATGTTGGTTTATGAAAGGCAAATGATATTCAACCATGTCAAAGCAATCTTACGGTTGACTTTACAGTAATTTCCTTAAAGTCCGATGTCAAAATGTTGGCTAGGGTAAATTTATCGTAACATTTCGTCTAATATATTAGCAACGCGGACGTATAACTCCAGCTCGAGCATGCACTCCATCCATCTATCCGTAGGCATTCCCCATCTCCGCATCGTGGCATGAATTTTAAAAACAATAAATATACTAGTTTGGAAAACATTTCTGTTTCTGGTGTTCCGTACGTATAAATAAATTGCCGAAACGTTTTGTCCCACATTCGTCTTTTACGAGCTTGCTTTTTCGTCTTGTACTTACCTATTCCTTAAAATGTTACGGTAGGTTTGTTTAGAAGTCAAAATTTGTCTTACTTTTTATATTGGAAAAACCATCAAACAGCACTAAGTATTTGTATTTGGAAAATTATCGTATATATTCTAGTTTTTGCTACAAATAGTTCAATGATATGTCAAGAGATGGCGCTTTACTTAACTCCAGATCACCATAAGCCAAGTGAAGTAAGCCGATAGAAACATTCTATAATATAAAAATGAATCGTGAAATGTGTCGGTAAGCGCATAACTCAATAACGTCTGGATCAATTTTGCCAATTCTTTTTTGTTATTATCGTTATTGTTAGGAGAAGGTTCTTACGAAAGAAAACTTTAGAAAAGTAAAGGATCATAGCGGGTATCAACAACCTTTTAGGAGCCGTGGAAATTCGTTTGCAAAACAAATGACTGACACCGGGGAAGTCGGATACCCGAAGCAGGGGCTGTCTGCTAGTTTTTGATAAAAATTACCTTCGAAGGTTTCTATCTTTTCAAAGTAGCATCTAGTTGCTTCATACAAACTTTTGGCAATAGAATTCAGTCAAATCAGACTTTCTTCTGTAACAAGAATTATTCTGAACTCCTAAGGATCCCTAACCAAAATGTTTTCCAAGCCCATACGTCGAGAGCTAACGCTCGCGTCGTGTGATCGATTATTTAGAAGCGGTGAGAAATTATTAGCTCAGCTTGTATACTTGAGCTGAAATAAATGAAAAGTGAAAACTTTAATTTTGTTAATGTTTTATGTTTTAAAATGACGTACGGACGATGTTCCTGTAGGCATTTTATCTATACTAATATTGTAAAATGTGTAATTTGCAAGTTTGAATGTAAGGGGTAATCTCTTGAACCGTTAGTCGGATTTCCAAAATTATTTCACTAATAGATAGCTACAATGTTGCTGTGTGCTATAGGCTATGAAACATCACGCTATGATCAAATGAAGCCGAGCAGCGGATACCGCGCGAGAGTAGCTAATTTAATCGTTATTTATTACGATTCTTTTTATTTGATTCTCAATATGCTGAAATTAATTTTTTGTGCTGGTTTTTTTTGACAGTAATGTATGATATTGGTCCTTCTGTAACCAGCTAGAGCCGACGTAATACTATGTTGTAGTTAGCACCTTTACATTATCCGAGTTTTACGTACTTTCTAAGTTTTAAACACCAGTGACAAACAGTCAAGAAAAATATAATTATTAGTTTGATACTGTCGATCCGCATTGAGCAAACGTGACGATTAATGCTCATTTTCCGTATTGGCTTATTCTGAATTGCTGTTTTAGAAACATCTATTCAGAATCATCAGAAAGCCCAGTAATTATAAAATAATTATAAATCTGTTCTCAAAAACCATCTGTTGGATGACATGGGGAATTGAACGTGGTGATGTACTTGTCTATTCAATTCTCACACACTTACTATTGATTGTATTGTAATTCTTTATTGTACCTATAATTCGTCAGCAATTGTATTGAGATCCGATTTCCGTAGCATAAGGACAAACCTCAGTGGTTTATTTGTGTTATTGTAACAGAAAATTGTATGTTTTTATGTTTTGATAATAAAAGGAAAAAAAAATTGTAACATTGTTGCATTGTAACAGTGTTTTAGGTATGAATTCTAAACATTATTTTAAGCCAGCTTTCATAGTCAGGCTTACAACCTATTCTTTCTCTTAACATGTTAACCGCCAGTCGGGTTACCAGTACCCAAAAAATCCCTCCCGCCCGACCCTGGGCGGGAAAAGTCATTTGATGAGCCTATAAGTGCTTATTGCTGAGCAAAAGCAAGAGGGCTTTGCTCAGCAGTCACTCACACACACACACGGTAAAGTTTTGAGCAAATTTTTTATGGGATATGTCGGGAAATGAGTGCACTTATTGCCTGATGGCAAGCAATCCCTGCCGCCCATGGACACCCTCAACACCAAAGGAGTTACGATTACGTTGCCGGCCTTTTGGGGATAAGGGTTTCGGATATTTAAGGATTGGGAAGGGATGAGTAATCACCACTCTTGCTCAAGCATATTGGCGATTTTAAATTCCAGGTTTGGTCTCGATGTTTTCCTTCACCGTATGTCAGTGGTGTCTAAATAATCATAGAAACTACATACATATAACTCAGAAAAAGTCACATTGATACTTGCCAGGTTTCGACCCCCGGGCCACCACGACGTTTATTAATAAGTTACCTATAATACTTGCTGAAAGAAACTTGAACCTAAATCCAGATTGTTCAACAACTTGTTCAACGATATATAGATTTAGGGACAGCCGATAGCTGGCATGCGGGTGCCATTGTGCCGCGATGTAGCCACAATAACCAACAGATATAACCTCCATCTTCCGTTTATTAAGAGACGTCGATGAACGGCCCTAACGTCTAACTTCGTACTAAACCGACTAAGTTTCAAGTTATCGAGCCTTCAAAACATTAGGTTAGTTATAAGCTTCGTGAGCGTCGCGTTTTTTCCTAAGGCAAGGTTGTTGAAGGGAGTGTGTCTAATAAATATTTTGCAATACTAGCGGGGGTAGGCCGCTAGTATTACTTCATACGGATTCTGCTAGATTTTGTGTTTCATTTACAGGCAAATTAATGCCTTTTTCAAGGTTTTCGACTGTGTATACTTTAAATTCTGTTACCAGTCAGTAAAGAAATTGTTGAAAAATTATTTATTTTCTGAATAAACAGAAATGAAACGCTAAACGTGGTAGTAAGCGCATAAGTCAAGAACGCCTCGACCATTTTTGCCAATTCTTTTTTCGTTGCATTTGTTATTGACAGAGAGTTCTTAAGAAAGATAATTCAAGAAAAGAAGAGAGGAAAGTTTTGAAATTGCAACCATTTCGTCATTAGCGAGTTAGTTGGGCATAAAAACCAGCTGAAAAAGAAGAATCAATTGTAAGAAAGCTGCGAAAAGGGGGGCAGTTTTCGTCCCACCGTTGAATAAATATTTTCTTTTGGTCCGTGTATAATGACGGCGCGTCCGCGCACATTATCAGCCCGTAAATCTTTGAATCAACCTCCTCGGCTGGATTAACAGGGGCGTTGATGGAATACCTGTGTTTTCAACTTATTCTTAAAACTTTGATTGTGTTACACAACTCTCGCTAACTTGATTATAACTTGAAATAATACTCGCTCAATATTTACAATACTTCGCAGTTTGTGTAAGGATATTAATTTAGTTCATTAAGAACTCTTTGGTAAAAAGTATTACGACCTCATTTCAAATTAATTTGGAGGTTTTGAGG